TGGTTCAGAGGCAGTTGGGGGAACTGCTGTTGGTAGTGATGCTGGGAAATGTGGTGTAGTACTTGCTGCTGATGGAGCTGATGTTGCTGGAACTGCTGCATTTGGGCTTGCATTGCCCGCATGCAATGCAGCAAGTCATCAAGCTGGTTCTGGCTGGTCACCAAAGGGACAGCGGTCGGTTCGACGAAGGTTGTCTCGATAGGGAGGGGAAGGGGAACACTCGCAGGGGCCACCGTGCTTGGTGCATTGAGGCTAGGGATTCCGTCCGTCGAGAGGGGGACGGTGAACTGTCCGATACATACAGTGGCGGGTTGAGGGTGTTCCCCTACAACATTCAAATCGGCGTTGTGCCGGTTGCTGCTGGAGGAAGCTATGGAAGCTAAGGTTTCTTTGAGAGAGAGAGAGAGAGAGTTAAAGGTTAGGGGAGGCTTTTTGAAGTCTTCCCACAGACGACGCCAAATGATGGTGCGCAATCCGGTCGGTCCTAGTTGCCGGTCACCTTGCCTTTGGCAGAGCCGAAGATGCCTGAAACAAGGAAGAAAATGGAGACTTCCGGGGAGGAACCCGGTAGGAACACTCCAAAGCTCAAGTTAGTGCTCTTGAGAAGGCAAGGGGAATGAGGGACTTCAAGACTAGAAAGCACAAGAATGACATACTTGCTTCTTTGGGGGAAGGGGGCCTTTTATAATCACCCTGGTACACTCACTTCCATACCTCCGCCAGATCGGGTGTCATCATCTCTGCCAGACGCCAGTTTGGGTGTCATAACCTTTGCTAGTTGCCAGTTCGGGTGTCATAACCGCCACTGTCCTCCTTGTCAGGGCCATCTCTGCCACGTCTGAGATGGCGGTTCAGGTGGCCGTTGAAGGGTGGCTGTCATGTGTCGGACCCCTAATCAGTTCGGGTTTTTGCCCTTTGCGCTCCTTGTAAGGCTCAGGACCTCCAAGGGAGAGCTCGGGTTCTTCCTTGGGGAACTCGGGTCGTGGGTTCCTTTTTTGGGGGAGCTCGGGACTCCTTTTCTCGGAGCTCGGGTTGTGGGCCCGCTGTCGTGCCAAGCTGGCATTTCTGTCAGGTCACTCTTAGTTGCTTCCACGTGTCGCATGACCAAGGGGTTGGGCCAAATCTTCCTCCATCAGTTGCCATCAAAAGAGCTCAACAACGAGGTGGCATTCGGTTCAAAACAGAGGTCGAGATGTTATCTCGGGTTCATCATAAGAACCTTGTTAGCCTTGTTGGATATTGCTTTGARMRAGATGAACAAATGTTGGTCTATGAATATATTGCAAATGGTACTCTAAAGGAAAGCCTTTCAGGTACTTGATCTGATCATATGTTCTATATATATAGTAGTACCCTTGTTGCTTTTCAAATGAATTCCTCTCGCAGACTGGACACCCAAAATTAAAGAACCACAGACTCACTCCCCTACTCCATATATATCAGAATCTGCTCATCACCAACTTGTTTTGGAGCTTTCCCCAGACTAGTCTGTGTAGTAGGTTTTGCCTTCAAAAATTGCCCATAGAAAACAGCTTAGTTTTAGATATGTTACTAAGGGCTGAATTTCTCCTCATGTTGAATAGATGGTAGCAGGAGATCTGTCATTGAGATGATTTTTCTGTATAGGATTTGCAGATTTGTCCCAATAAATTAATACCTGTGTATTCCCTTTATATATAAGTTATGAAAATTTATTCAACATTATGTAAATAACTTGTGCAGGAAAGTCAGGAATCAAGTTGGATTGGACAAGGGGACTTAGAGTAGCCGTGGGTTCAGCCAGAGGGGTGGCTTATCTACATGAGCATGTCAACCCACCCATAATACATAGAGATATTAAGTCAACCAACATTCTCTTGGACAATCACTTAAATGCCAAAGTTTCTGATTTTGGTCTGTCCAAGCTCATGGATGACGATGAAAAGGGCCATGTCTCTACTCAAGTAAAGGGGACAATGGTGAGTAATTAATCAACCCACTATCCTGCTATATATCATGCAAAAGGCAATACTCAAATTCTATGGTATAGATACATCGAATTTGTTTTGTGATGTTGTAATATATATGTATAATGCATGCTCTAAGGGTGCAAGTTCGGCTTCAGTCAGTGCAACGCCCGCTCGAACAGCTTTTACAGCCTTGCATTGGGAATATCTCCATACTTATGTGCTTTTATTTCATGGGAAGATATTTCCAATACAAGGTTGCAAATGCTGTTCAAACATTGTCAGCACGGGCTTGCACTGATTGAAGCCAAACTCGATCTAAGGGTGCAATTTTACAACCTAAGTCTGTGGTATTTACTGAATACTAAATATACTTTTCACAGAAAGTATTGGGCATTGTTTTAGTCTGATTTTTTAAGCATGTTATTTTGGTGCAGGGCTATTTGGATCCTGAATACTACATGACCCAGCAGTTGACAGAGAAGAGTGATGCGTATAGCTTTGGAGTGATAATGCTAGAGCTGATTACTGCTAGGAAACCAATAGAGCATGGGAAATATATAGTGAGAGAGGTGAAAGCAATAATGGACAAGACCAAAGACCTATATGGCCTTCATGAGCTTCTTGACCCGGTCCTTGGTTTAATAAGCACCAGCCTCAAAGGATTTGAGGAATTTGTAGATCTTGCAATGAGATGTTTACAAGAATCAACAGCTGATCGTCCATTGATGAGCGAAGTAGTCAAAGAGATTGAGGGCATTATGAAGTTTTCTGGTCTAAATACAACTGATGATTTTGCATCAACTTCAGAAAGTTATGGGGAAACTAGTAGAGAACATTCTGGGAATCCTTATAGTAATGAAACCATTGAGTACAGCAGTGGGAATATACATCATCACAAGGTGGAATCTCAATGAAGCAAAGAGCTAGTGCTTATCTGGCTAAAAGATTTGAATACTGTATCAAAGATGTTGTATAAATAAGGATTAGAAGTGTATTGGAATAGGAAACAAAGTAGATGAAAATGGTAATAAATGAACTACAATGCATATTAGCTTCTTGTTAGAAATAGGTTGGAACAATTATCCATTCTTGAACTGAATGGTTTGAGGTTGAGAGCATTATTCAATTGACTGGTATAAAATCTAATTCAAATGTTGATTATGCATCCACCTACTTAAAAATAAACAAAGAATGATTAACCATTTAAGATGAATGAAAATGGTTAGGGTTGTTCAGTACTGCTTAATGTCAACCAGAGAACAATATGTACTTATATTAATTAATATGGTATGAGTACAATTACAAAAGAAAAAAGGTATGATTTTTCATGTCTGCAATGAAAATTAAGGAAACTTGATGACCTACAATAAGATGTTAGTAGATACCAAACAAAGCAATCTCACGACTTTCCCCTGTATATGTGCTCAAGATACAACCAAGATTGGAGTTTCTCACACTTTATGGGCTTAAGTCCCTCTTATACTTGCTAATGTACTTGAACATTGGGCTAAGTAATTGACTCCACTGTCTCTTGGCTTAATCTAATCCCTCTGCAAGGTTCCAACCAGCTGGTTGGTAAGCACTTTGACTCCAATTGGGTCAGTTGCCCTAATGATAGATTTTCTCATGGAAGCAATTGCATCTACTTTAGCTTGGACCTTGGGGTCATTTGGCAAGTCTTTTTTGAAAGATCTTTTGGATGATCTGACAGTCAAAAGACGAAATGAGTTTTTGCATCAAGATCTTAACAGCCCGAAGACTGTTTGGTTAAGGCGCACATTTTTGCGTAAAGATAATTTGAAAAAAAGGCAAAAAGCTCCACTTAGAGCTTTCCGAATAATCCCGAAATAGTCTTCCCCCGCCTTTTCAGGAATGTAACTTTCGGCGATTAAATTTTTTCTCAACCCAACGGCGGGAAAAGACCAAAATGCGGGCTGCCAGGCTTCTAAAAAGCCGACAGTCTGTGTGAAAAAACATGCCAAACAGGGTCTTAGTCTCTTGGTCATTCAAGAAGTATCCAACTGTTTCCAAATCCAACTTATGATGTTGCATTAGAGGTAGTTTGGCTTTAATCTCTACTTCATGAGCTCCACATTCCTTTGTCTTGTGGTGTAACAATTTAGGAGTACCATTTAAAATGCCCGAATGAAGTATATGGCACTTGATGATTACCATTATGTCTGGGAAAAGGCCACTTAGGGTCTCCATACTATTCGATATTTCACTTCCACCAAAGACCAGATCGTAGATATTTTCACTGCTACCATTCTCAAATCAACTACTTTCATCAAAAGTTGAATACCACCCTTCTCAACCTGAGAGGAGATGATAAGGATAAGATTCATGAACAACCGAGTTAATATGAAGACTTACCCTAGTCAAATTCTATATGTTGTATATCTTAACAGTTCCATCTGTAATAGACTCTCTATACTTTGTAACCATAATACTCATTATAAATAAAAGACAATCAATCAATCAATTCATTCCAATGATTCATTTATTTTATAAATCCCTTTATTCAATAGTAAATGATGAACCAATAGATGTAGATGGTTTTTGATGGTGTGTGATCTGGTGCTCCCTACTAGCAGACAGTTCGGATGCTGAACTGAGTAGGTCACCTAGTTAAGCTGCAAAGAAAGAGATTAGAGCGTCCAGGTTGATTTACTCGGTGTGGGCACTCCAATGCTTAAGTCAACGAAGAGTTTTTAGAGAGTTAAAGAGTTGTGAGAGTTAAATCGCACGTACCTTTTCTGAGGAAGGAGACGCCTTTATATAGGCAAGCTGCCATGCAGCTCATGAAGTGCTTCTGAGATCTTCGGCCTGCCTAGTTTGGAGGTGGTTTCACGCCCATAGGTGGATTCCACATAAGTAGATAGTGCTTATCTGGTCACGCCCAAAATGGGCAGAGTGATAACTGGCTCTTCCAACGTGATGTTGTGATCCTAGGGAAGTTAGAGACGATAACCCAATTAATGAGGAGGTCGCCTAGCATGTTAGGCAGGTCACTAACCAAACTCAGGTCAGATCGGTAGAAGCGGGTCGCCTCTCATGCTGACCTGTTGACTTTCTGAGCTGGTTCGTAGTTTGGCTGCCGAGAAGGTGCCGAAGTCATTAGGCGGTTTCAAGGTGTCCGGGGCACTTTTGTGGCTTGCTTGCATGGTGCTAAGATGTCACTTGACTATGTCATGACGCCATATGTCCTCATATCATTAGAGGGCCAAATCGCCCCCTCATCAGTTTTGATGCTTAGAGGGTTTCAAAGCTTACAACAATAGAGAGAGAGGTTACTTTTACCTCTACATATTTGGCAAGGGTTCATAGTATATACTTGGATTTTGTGGGATTTGGGCTGAGAGGTGGTAGTGTCACTAGGCATGAGAGTTGCCACTTAAATTTTGCACAACAATTAGGAAAAAGAAGAGAAAAAGAGTGGAAAATGGGGTAGGGATGATTTTGGAAAACGACTTTGGTCTAAAGTAAAGAATTTTGGTCCAAAATCATCTAATTGACTTCACAATCAATCTCTTCTCAGGCTAGGTAAGGATTAAGGTAACATCATGGAAGGGGTTAGGCACCACACTCATCCGAAATCGAAATTCCAACCTCTACTTTATCCTTTGATTCCTTGGGATATAAAAATCACTACTTTTGTTGCTTATTACACACTCTGTAATTGGGGTATTCTTTAGTTTGTTTTCATCAACCCATCCTTTAGAGAGGATTAAAGGGGATGAAGAATTTCCTCATAGGATCCCAACAATTAGTTTGTTTCCTACTCTACATGACATATTAAAATGCGAAGTAGGGCAAACAAGTTTTGTTTTCAATTATTTTTAAAACATTTTCATCTATAAATGATGCATGAATACGTGAGATACAGGTAACATTACTTTTTTCACAGTAATTTAACTTGGTAAATCTTTATGCCAGTAAAGTTTTTATGGACAAAAATGGGATTTTTAAAACTTTAAGGCATTATGTCATCAAATCACCAACCCAAGGAGTTGTTAGACTCGGATAGGACCACAGATGGTCAGAGTGTGAAAACCGGGAAAGGATTAATGACCTTTCTGATAAGGGTGTCAATAGATCGGTTTTAGATTGGACCCTGTCCAGTCTAAAATCAATTTGGATGGATTGGATGAACCAATAAGATATATTGGATTAGATCAATCTGATTCAAAATATTTATTGGATTGGATTGGACCTGGTCCATCCGTAATAAATTTGTATTGGATTGGGTTGGAATTGGATAAGCCAATATCTGGTCCATTAATATAAGATTAGAATATAGGTATCAATGGGCTGGGTTTAGGTTGAAAAGAAACCAATCTAAATTAAGACAAATTTGAACAGGTTGAACGGTCCAGACAATGAACTGGACCAATCCAAAATGGTTCAAAATATTTATTAGATTAGATTAGACCTGGTCCATCCATTTGTAATGGACTCACATTGGACTGGATCGGATTGAACCAAATCCAGTTCAATTGACATCCCTACTTTCTGGTCCGGGTTAAATGACAGTTTTTGTGAATTGAATGGACCAAATCGTTTAGTTAACCAAAAAAATCATGATCTTACGGAGCATTCCAGTTTTTGTCCGATCGTATTATTTATAGATAGATAGATAGATAATTAAGAGCAATATTATAGGTTATTCGAAAATTTATTGCAATCCCATATTGGCATTCATCGCAATCTTCATCTACATCCAGCATTTCCTTTAATTAGATAGATAGTACGCCTATCTGGAAGAAATTTTATTTTATATGAAGAGACAAAACACGCAATATAGATGGAGTGTTGCTCTCAATTATTTGAGGTCCATGATGTAAGTCTTTAATTATCTCACCTACACCATTAAATTTCAACTTTTTAGCATTTCTATATGGGTTTTGTTCAGGAAAAAACCATCCTTTTCCAACCTTGCTACATGATATAATTGCATGCAAGGTGCCAATCAGCTGGTTGATAAGTCTTTTGCTATCGTAATGGAGACTTGGAATCGAATTCCGCCTGCACGAAAGTTCATGAATAGGCTACCCTTGTATATCCTTTACAAGATATATATTGAAAAAATATGGCATAATTGCATAAACATGTGGGACATATTCCCATCTGTCATTCATCAGAGCTTCTAAACATTTTCCATAAATAATAATACATAAGTAGAGGAGATGTTGTGAGGACTAGATCCAGTCCCAATCAGAACTATCCAAATGCTATAGGTTGAAGGTAAGAGACCGGATCTTCTCCTCACACATGGCTCCTCATACCGACCTCACACGCAAATCCTACCATGCATTGGGAACATCTCCCATACTTATTATTCACGAGACCTAATCAAACGGAGTGAAAAAGGAAAAAGAAAAAGAAAAAAAAAATCTGACAATGTGACAGTGAAATTAAAATGTCTTAAAAGAGATTGAGAATGGGTGCATGTATTTGAACATGCATGAATTCTCTTGAGGAGGGGAGTTAATTATAAGTAGGACTGCATTAATAAATGACAGAAAGAACCGAATCAGGTCATAGAGATGTTATGAGATTGTCAACCAACTTCAACTCTTCTACTTGCAGATATTTTTCTTGGTTCAAATCAAAATTGCTAAACAAGACTTCAGAGTTGACTCCTCGTGGCCAATTATCTCCAGGGCCGCTTAATTAATATATACCAACTTCAACTCTTCTAAATGAATGTTCTGTTACAGAGAAATTTTGTCACCGGAGAGTTGCATCACAACTTGTCGTCCATCAGTCGTCACCAATGGATGAAATAAGGATCAAATTCAAAGCCTGTCTGCTGCTGGTTGTGCTCATTCAAATTTCGTCTGCAGCTGCACAGCAGGCACCAACAGACCCTAACGATGGTATGTGTTAATTTTCCTGATCGATTTCATTATGAATGGACTATGATATAGATTAGCTAGCCATCTGGCAAAATCAGAACAGATGGAAATCTGTAGTTCGATCAAAACAGTCATAGTTTCATCACCCTCTGACCTATTTTTATTGGGCAAATTTGATGAGCATCAAAACATTCAATTCATTATATATATTTCTTCAGAGTTGAGAATGGATCACAGCTTTTCTGCATTCATGCAGCTGCTGCTCTAAATTCATTCAAGTTAATGTGGAAAAACAGACCTCCCAATTGGGAAAATTCAGACCCTTGCGTTGGTGGTTGGGTAGGAGTTACTTGCAACAACTCACAGGTGATATCCATGTAAGTTTTTAGTAGCTAGAGTTGTTTTATATATAGAGTTTAATAACTAGTTTCTTATGTTTCCTACTTCTATCATTCTTCTCACTTACGACCAATTTCATCAATATTTTAGAAAATTGTCAAGCATGGGACTCGAGGGTCAATTGTCTGGAGACATCGGTGCTCTAACTGAGTTACAGACATTGTAAGACTTTCTTAATTAATCTCCCTCTTATATCAACTTTCAGACATATTCTGAAATAAGAAACATCTCTCTCTCTCTATAAATCACTTTAATTTTCTGATTAGTACGTAGTTGATTCATGTAGGGATCTGTCTTACAACCGGGGTTTGAATGGTCCCCTGCCGGCCGAAGCAATTGGGAGCTTGAAAAAGCTTTCAAACCTGTAAGGAAATCCTGATGATTTGCAAAGCGATATATAGCTTCTGTTGACCAACTGGTTTTATTGGAATCGTTCAACTTAATTTACTTTCCTTTTCTATATATCAGGATCCTGGTTGGGTGTAGTTTCTCTGGACGAATACCAAGCACAATCGGAGATCTGGAAGAGCTAGTCTTTTTGTAAGAGCTTGGAGTTTGGAATAGATTCTTCTGTTATAATTAATGATGGTTAACTAACATTTTCACTCGTAAAGTTTCATTCATTTATGATGCCAACAATGACAAAGTCTTCTTAGAAGATAAGAGACGAGGACAGTTGGGTTCATTAATTATTGGGAAACTTTCCGATTAGTACTTTGTACTTTGGGCTTAATGTCACTTTGGTCCTCGAAATTTAAAATGTGAAAATTTGGATACCGAATTTTCAAAATGTTTCAATTCAGAATTTATTGTTAAACAGTTCGTTTACTAGCCAATAAGTGGCATTTGAAAAGATACAAATGCCCTTTGAGTGTCATCTAATTCTATTTATCAAACATCCAAACATTGATAAAAGATGAATAGTCTCAAATTCTTGCCTCTTTTATTCAAGAAAGTTGAGGTCATGTCTGTTTGGGTGGATATTCAAGAAGAGTCAAGGATTTGGGACTATTCATCTTTTATCAATGTTTGGATGGTTGATAAAGAGAATTCGATGACACTCAAAGGACATTTGTGTCTTTTCAAATGCCACTTAATGGCTGGTAAACAGACTGGTTAAAGGCAAATATTGAATTGGCACATTTTGAAAGTTTGGGTACTGAATTGTCTCAATTTAAAGTTAAGGGACCAAAGTGACAATAGGCCCAAAGTACAGGGTACTAATCAGGAATTTTCCCTAATTATTTTTATGGTCCAATTAATATTGCACTATGCATTAATTACACATCCTACTATTACCCTTTACCTTTCTCTTTTAATTTGCAAGCTAACTTTTCTAAAAGGTTCGGTTAAAAATGCTTGTCCAAAGACTCTAAACTCATAATTTTTAGTTTATTACTTTATCTTTCCAATATTGACTAAGTAGATATATTTTTTGGGAGAATAACGATTCAGCCTGGGGTCAGAATTTTTAGGCCCAAAGTACAGTTGAGGTAGGTGCCATCTCGAAATTGATGCCAATTCATGGGCGAACATTGATGTATAGAGTGGGGATTTGACATTTTGAATGTTTATAGGTCTGCAATGGAATTCAGAAATCTACATTGGGTCTGTCCGTACTTTTCCATTTTTTTCTTTAACCGAAAAAAACTATGTACGACAAAGATCTATTGTTAGCCAAAAAAAAAAAAAAAAGACAAAGATCTATTATATAGGTTCTTTTTTTTCAACTCAATTAGTTATTCCATATAATTTGTTAAACTATTATCTTCACCCCATCTAAGTTGTTCTTTTCTATCAACTATTGTATTCAAATAAAATGGTTACTTTAATATTTGTTCTACCAAAAACTGAAATTTAGAGAAAATTGTCAACAAATTAGATGGGGAATGAAACAATCAGAAAGTATATATGGGACTAATAAACCCATAAAATCAAGCTCTCATTGTAAAATCTTTGAAATGGGTTCATCTTGAAAATTATATGATTAGGCCAAATAGTTATTAATAAAAGATTGACATCAGCAGACAGTAGATTTTGCTTGGGCCTGACCAATTCAGTACTTCTTATTGATCAGTGAAAGACGTAAAACTCATTGATAATTACATTAGGCAACAATATTAAAAAGTAGTACACATTATTAAAAATACCATAAATAAGAGACATGTATATATACATGAATTACCCTATCATGAAAACTTAACATTCACATTATATTTTCTAAACATTTATTTTATAGAATTATGAAAACTACAGTTTAGGATTCGATACATTTTGTCATTTTATGGCTTATTTAAAACTATTTAATTTAGGGATATTATCTAAAAGTCAACATGACTTTTGCGCACTTCTCTTAAACTTACCATGACTTTTCAAACTTCCAAAGAGACCCTTGTCAATGAGTTTTATTGTTCAAAACTCACATTCAGTTAAGATTTCCGTTAGATTATCCTTGGAGATCATTAATATATAGATGTTGTTCACGTAAACATTTGAATATTTTATATGACCAAACTACCATTGAATGGTTAGTCAAGCTTATTAAATATTTTTGTGGCAAAATTACCCCTGATTGTTGAGAGCCTAGTATGGGTCTGGGCTTGGGTTAGGGGTAATTTTGTCCTAAAAATATTTAATAAGCTTGACTGACCACTGTGGTCATGTAAAATACTCAAATGCTTACATGGACAACACCTATTAATGATCATTAATGGTGATCTAAGAGAAATCTTAACCGACGGTGAGTTTTGGACAATCAAACTCATTTGCATAAGGCTCTCAAGAGGTTCGACAAGTGATGTGATTTTAAGAGAAACTGGTTGGCCTAGTCCTTTTTTAGTTTTTTTTTTTTTTTTTTTTGCGTGTACTTGGTTTCCTCCTTTTCTTAATAAAATTTTTATTTACTACCAAAAAGCACAAGATCCAGCATAATAATGATGGTGGTGCGGGTACTGGTAGTAGTATACTATTTAAAATTTTATTATTTGATGAAAATAATTTTAATTAATTTAATGAAAAACATATTATATAAACTAGACATTTTTCCTTGATAACATCAACAACAATAACAGTAATAACAAAACCCTAAAACTTAAAACTCTAATAAAAATTACATCAAACATTTAGGAAAAAACTATGCATATTAAACAATTAATGTTTTTAGCTCATTGTTGACTCGAACAGTTTAATCATTCAAATCATGGTTTTGAAAATCAGACCGAACTAGATGATTGGACTGTTTGACCCAGGAACTAGTCATTACCCTAGGTCCAGTTTTGGATCCAAAAACTGTTTGATCGGGGTTCAGACTAGATGATCGGACCATTTAACCTTGAGAAACAATTCTCAAAGCGGTTTTGGTTCTAGCCTGGTTTTCAAAACCATGATTCAAACTCTATTTTTGGTTTCAATATTTCTAAAAACCCACTATTTTGCCAAAAAAAAAACAACATTGACTTGGTAAAATACCTATCAGCTTGGACGGTTGAACTATTGTCCTAGGGGATGTTTGGAACCATGGTCGTTTTTCAAAAAAACGGTGTCATGTCGGGTCCACAAAGGTGTTTCAACAAATGCCCATGTAACTCATTGTTTGGTTCAGTCGATTATAAAAAATCCGGGCATGCCTCGAAAATCGGGGCCCCACCGATGCATGAAACACCAAATTTGGTGCTTACCAATCAGTGAACTATTTCTCCCAATGGTTGATTGATTTGTATCCTATGTGGTGCTTACCTGTCAGCACGTACATGAAAAACGGTGATGAAAATCACCTTACCAAACAGCATAGTATTGCTCACTGCCTACTAGGCAGAAGCGTTTTTTTTTTTTTTTTTTTTGTGAAAAGCAGGTCTTGGAAGCATGTGCATTTTTTCTTAATAATCGATCTCAAAAAACGCTCACACTTCCAAACACCATGTTAGTCACTAGGTCACAGATTACAAATTACAATGGATTGAAAACTTCCAAAGGATATAACTTTGCGCTCTTTGATATTAAGATTATAATTGTTTTTGAATTATCAGTTAATAGATATTAGAGAAATATAAAATCACGGATCCAAGCTACTTCCTTCAAATTATGTTAAATTTTAGGAGCTATTTATTATTAATTCTGAATCCAACTATGGTGCATTTCAAAATTTTTACAGCATGTTACATCAAAATTTCAACCAATTATATTAAAAATATTAAATGGTCTATTAACTCTTCATTGGTTTACATTTCCCAAGGTGTATATATCATTAAAGATTTTAACAACATTAAAATGTCATTGTGATGTGTCACTTTATCAATATTTCATTCCCCTTTGAGTTATGTTACGTTGCAACAATATCCATAGAATGAAGAATCGACCATCGATTTTGCCATCAATTATCACTTCCAAGAAGGCATGTGTTAACTTAATATAAGCCAGATCTAGAAATGCTAGTAAATAAGGAATAAAACTTGATAAAATGTAAAGAATAAATTGCTAAAACCTCCCTTAAAGTTTCAGGTTGTTGCTGATCAAACCTCCCCTGAAGCTTGGTAATTGCAATCATCTCTTCTAAACTTTTTAACATAATTGCAAGTAGATCCATTTTTTTAATCCTCTAAAAGGAGGCATGAATATGTCCAAAATACCCATACAGTTACTTTTGAGTTTTGACCACAATATTTATTTTCCAAATTTTTTCTCGTATGAATGATTAGCCCAAATTTATTTTCCAAATTTTTTTCTTTTGTTGTTTATAAAGTTTTATTGTTTTCACTGTATAAACCAATCTCAATAGTAATTGCATAGGTATTTTGGGTATTTTCATACCTTTTCTTAGAAAATTATAACAGAGGGGGCCTATTTGCAAGTATATCAAAAAGTTCAAGGGAGGTGATTGCAATTACCAAACTTTAGAGGAGATTTCAGCAACGATTAAAAACTTCAAGGGAGGTTTCAGCAATTTACCCAAATTTAAATAACTTTCTTGTGATGTCAAATAAATGCTAATAAGAATTGGGTATCATTAAAGTATCAAAATATGTCAATTTTCTAAACCATAAAACTTCAAATTCTATATATTTAGCTGACTATTATTTTGACAAAATGCTTTATTATTATTATTATCTGCAGATCTCTAAATTCTAACAGCTTCACTGGTGAAATACCTCCTTCCATTGGTAAATTATCTAAACTTTATTGGCTGGACATAGCTGACAACAAACTTAGTGGAACGATTCCAGTCTCCAGTAGCAGCACGCCTGGCCTAGATATGCTACTTCATGCCAAACACTTGTATGGCCTAGAAGCTATTCAAAACAAATTATTTAATTTGTTTTTATTTAAGAGTTTTCCTAGACGAAAATCATATGGAACTTTTTTTTTTTCTATTTTCAGTCATTTCGGAAAGAATCAGCTATCCGGCACCATCCCTCCTCAACTTTTCAGCTCAAATATGTCTCTCATACATTTGTAAGCCTTCAAGCAATCTCTCTCTTTCTCTCTTATAGATATGAATAAGGGTATAAATAATGGACCGGTTTTGGATTGGACCCAGTCCAGTCCAAAATCAATTTCGACAGATTGGACGGACCAACAAGACATATTAGATTGGACTAATCCAGTCCAAAATATTTATTAGATTGGATTGGACTTGGTCCGTCTATAACAAATTTATATTGGGTTGGATTGGATTAAGCTAATATCTAGTCCATTGATATAAGATAAGAATATATGTGTCAATGAACCGGGTTTGGATTGAAACCAATCTAAATCAAAATGAATTTGAAGAGATTGGACGGTCCAGACATTGAATTCGACCGGTCCAAATTGATCAAAAACACTCATTGGATTGGATTGGACATAGTCTATTTATAATGGACTCACATTAGACTGGATCGGATTGGACCAAATTCAGTCCAATTGACACCCCTAGATATGGGTTTGAATATAGAATAGTGATAGAGGAAATTACATATAAAACTAAAAAGGAAGAAGGAGCTAGAGCATGGAATTCTGGGAGGTAATTAATCTAGGATAGATACTAGTAAGTAAACATACACTAATATCTATCAATTACAACTTCCATGAAATAACCACAACTTTTCAAAATATATACTTCTTTCACATGCTAATAATCTAATGTGTTTGACAGGCTTTTTGATAATAATCGACTCAGTGGAAGCATCCCTTCAACACTTGGACTCCTGGAGAAGTTGGAGGTTTTGTGAGTTGTTATCTGGCTACCAAAAACTTAATTCATGCTGATATTTTTACTTCTAGTACTGAATGTTCTGTGTACTTACTTGTACAATTTTGTGATAGGCGCCTTGATAGGAATTTGTTAAGCGGATCTGTTCCTTCTGACCTCAACAACCTTAAAAACATCGGTGACCTGTGAGCAAATTAAAATTACCTTCTTTATTAACTAGTTTTTTTTTTTTTTAAACATCTTTTGCAATTTGTTGCTTACATGAGATCTGATATTTGGCTTTCTATTTTCAGGCATTTGTCCAATAATCTACTCAAGGGTCCAATGCCTAACCTAACTGGCGTGGACTCAATTACTTATTTGTAAGTAGAAACTTATGTTAAACCCATTACAATAAGGGGGTGGTCTTTTTTTGGATTTTGAGAGGGGGGAAGTTGGTCAATGGGATTTTGGCTCCCATTGATCAAGAATCCCATGTTTTTTTTTTTCAAATTTATGTGGGGACCAGGGAATGTTTATTTTCCTAGGTATCACTTACCCCGATAAATGATACCCATCTCCTAGGTGGGTAAATAATTTTCCCACATAGGGGGAAAGTTATCAGCACTTGAATGAGACAAGAATGGCCCTTTTAATAATGGACTTTTATGGCTAAAATGGTCATTGCCTTGTTTATCTAGAAAATAAAAGAACATAGGTATACACTTACCCAGGTAAGTGTTTCCTAGGAAAAACTTACATAGATAATTGCATTTACCGGGGTAAGTAACTTACCGAAAAACAAATGGGGCCCAAGTATTTAAACATGGATAGGCAAAGCAAATGGTTTTCATTTATGAATTTTGCTAGCTGTTATGTTGGTGTTCACTGATCCAAAATAATCTGTACCTGTAGGGACTTGAGCAATAATAGTTTCACTACATCAGATATTCCTCAGTGGATTTTAACATTACAAAGCTTGACAACACTGTATTCCTCTCTCTCTCTCTCTCTCTCTCTCTCTCTCTCTCAGAAGAGTTTTCCATCTATAACTAACTTTGTACTGCAGAGTGATGGAGAATACCCAACTGGAAGGACCCTTGCCCCAAGCCCTATTTGGCATTCCTCAGCTACAGACATTGTAAGTATTAGCTGAATCTGAAGTATAAGGTTGTGAGATCATCAAAAGCAAAAGAGCTACAGCAGACACTCATAATATAGATTCTTAGAGGCTGATGATTAAGAAAGTTGATATTGGCCGCAGGAACATGAAGAATAATCATATCAATGGGACCTTAGAACTTAATAGCTATAGTGGGCATCTTCGACTCATTGATTTGGAAATAAATTTCATTGAAAATATTAAGGGAGACAACGGATATCATAATCAGTTAATGTAAGCTCTACATTCATTGGTTCTTTATGGCTTTATCAACTCCAAGGGAGAGATCAATTTAGCTTCTTTTTTCCTTATGATCAGTTGCTCCTTTTTACAGGAATTAGTCCATCTCTCATTACAGATAACAGCTCTCATAACAGCTTCTTTTTTTTAATTCCTTTGTTGTTATTGCTTCGTTGCAGATTAAAGGATAATCCCATCTGTCATGAATCAGTATATGACCAACCCCCAGCACCATACTGCACCCCACAAAGATACACATCTTCATACTCTACAAAAGCAGAAAACTGTACTGCTGTTTCATGTCTCTCAGATCAGAAGTTGAGCCCCACCTGTAAATGCTCATACCCATACAAGGGCATCCTATATTTCAGATCTCCATCCTTCTCTGACTTGTTTAACACATCCTATTATGGCTCTCTGGAAAACAAACTTAAGGAAACATTTCAAAATTGTGCCCTTCCAGTTGACTCAGTTTCTCTGAGTAGCCCTAGAAAGGACTCAGATAACTACCTCGACTTGGATCTGGAAGTCTTTCCTTATGGAGCTGAACGTTTCAATCAATCAGGTGTTCTAAATATTGGATTTGTCCTGAGCAATCAAACCTTTAAGCCCCCACAGATTTTTGGGCCATTCTTTTTTATGGGTTCACCTTATGAATTCTTTCTAGGTAATCAAAAGCTTCCCTTAGTGAGTACTAATAACAGTGGAATTGAATCTAGTGCACTCTTTTCATTTTGTTTTTCATCACTCATTCTAAAGGATTCCTTTTGTGTATTTCTCATTAGAATCATCCTCCAGTTCCAAGAATTCAGTGAGCCTTGGAGTTGTAATTGGGGCAGCAGTTGGAGGACTTGTTCTCCTACTGGCACTACTGTTTGCAGGATATCTTGCCTTTTATCAAAAGAAAAGAGCTGATAGAGTAATTGAACAAAACAATAAGTCATTCTGTAAGGCCATGATTTAACCTGCTATGATCTTGTTCCTACATTTATTTACTCTTTTTGGAGAATATTGTGATGATTGTTGTAATGTCACACCTAATGCAGCTTCTTGGGACCACAATAGTAGTGGCAACATTCCTCAGCTTAAAGGAGCAAGATGGTTCTCATTTGAGGAACTCAATAAATGCACAAACAATTTCTCTGAGGCAAATGCCATTGGATCAGGGGGTTATGGCAAGGTAATGGTTCTAGATGTTGGGAAAAAAACAAACTTATTATTAGCCATCTCTATCTTAATTTCTTCACCCAAAGAAGGCATATTAAGAGGAAGGAGAAACTTTGGTTGGGTAAAGGACAAAACGAGAAGCCATCTGTTGTGGCCATGCTTGTTTTAATATATACTAATAGATGCGGAGACCAAAAGTTATGGTGCCTTAAAATGTCTTAGGCCATTTTAAAGTTTGGCTCACTTTCCCTTCTAACCCAATTTCTTTTGGTTCACCCACTCTAGAGAGTCCTTAGAAACCCTTTTACATCAGTTTACTCCACTCAGAAAACTCAACACTAACTTTGGCTCCATTGGAGAATGATACATGTACAAGTCAACAACATTAAAGGTTGAAAAGAACAGTAATATCACAAAGAAGAAAAGCTACATAAGCATTATCATTAATTTTCTTAAAAATACTAAAGTCATCCAAACTTATACTTCAATTTTTTCTAAGTCTCAGTCCGGTTTCAGGTAATTTAGAAGGACCAACTTTCCCATATTCTTTTTCAGATAAATGTGGGGTCCATGGTAATGGTATTCTATTTTCTTTTTTGGAAAAAAAGAAAACAGAGGAAAAAGGAAGAAAGAAGTAAAAGATTTAACAAAAACCTAAATAATAAATAAACAATAAAAGATTTAAAACCTCAAACAGCAGCATTCTCTTCTTGGAGTATATGAATAGCTCAATTACTATATGATGACTATATGTTCACAGGTTTACAGAGGAATACTTTCCAGTGGCCAGTTAGTTGCAATTAAAAGGGCTCAACAGGGATCCATGCAGGGTGGTGTTGAATTCAAAACTGAGATCGAGCTACTATCTCGCGTTCATCACAGGAACCTTGTCGGTCTTGTAGGATTTTGTTTTCAACAACGTGAACAAATGTTGGTCTATGAATATATTCCAAATGGCACCCTCAAGGAAAGCCTTTCAGGTATCCAAACAATAATGGGTGTGATTAATATATTTTTAAGTTATTTTCACATGCTTTCCCTAATTGATTGCTAAAGCCCATCTTCAGAATTGGACCCTGTTTGTTGACACAAAATTTATACAGGAAAATCAGGTGTTCGGTTGGACTGGGCAAGGAGACTCAGAGTAGCCTTGGGTTCAGCCAGAGGGCTAGCTTATCTGCATGAACATGCCAACCCTTCCATAATTCACAGGGATATTAAATCAACCAACATTCTCCTGGATGATCGATTAAATGCAAAGGTTGCTGATTTTGGTCTATCCAAGCTCATGGGTGACACAGAAAAAGACCATATCACCACTCAAGTCAAGGGGACAATGGTTAGTGGTTGAATCAACAGAACCTCTCTTCTTCATATAAAAGATCTCTCCCTATGGTTGTGACCAAAAAGGGAGTAAAACTAAGAAAGCATTTTGTCAGAAAAGGTTCAAATCAATGTTTATTCTTCGGTTTCTTAATTACAGTCATGAATCTTATTTCTGTGCAGGGATATTTGGACCCAGAATATTATATGTCTCAGATGTTGACAGAGAAGAGTGATGTCTACAGTTTTGGGGTGCTGTTGTTAGAGCTGATAACTGCAAAAAAACCATTAGAGCGGGGGAAGCATATTGTGAGAGAGGTAAGAATAAGTATTGATAAAACAAAGGATCTATATGGCCTTCATCAGCTTCTTGACCCAGCCATTGGGTTAGGGACCAGCCTCAAAGGATTTGAGAAATATGTTGATCTGGCAATGAGTTGCACTGAAGAAACAGGAGCTGATCGCCCAATAATGAGTGAAGTAGTGAAAGAGATTGAGAACATCATGCAGTTCGCTGGTCTAAATCCAAATGCTGATTCTGCATCCACATCAGGAAGCCATAGTGGAGGGCATTCCAAACATCCTTACAACAACGAGTCATTTGATTTTAGTGGCACATGCCCACCTCACAAGGTGGAGCCACAATGAGTGAAAAGTATTTTTTTCAAACTCTGGTCATTGTGAGCATTTGTTCTCTCTCAACTCTGGCAGTTAATTTGGGGGTGAGGGACTGGGTTTATTATTGGATTTGGAGCTTTGCAAGTCATGATGCTTTTGCTTTCCTCTTTGATCAAATTAATATTCAAAACTCTTATTGTTATTGTTATGAAAAACTCAAGAAAATCCGGTTCAAATGGCACTCAAAATGAAAATAAAATAGAGATAAAGAGAAGTAAGCACAAAAAACACACAGATTTACATGGTTCGGCTTATAGCCTATGCCCATGGACGAATGAGAAGCAGAAATCCACTATGTAGTCAGCAATGGAGAATAAATACAGAGTTGTGTACTCACAATCTCACTCACAGAGACAGAATAAACCCTAAACCCCAAAATACACCAATGTCTCACACACTCTCACAAGACAAAAAGTATAGAAGAGAGAACCCCCGAAAAATATATAACTCTTTGTGATTGATTCAGACCTATAAGTTGAAAATGGATCGAGTCCATACCGCCACGGGGGCTTACGCTTCCGCCACAAACCACTATGAAATTTTGTCTTCAGGTTTTTCTCAAATTATTTTAAGACAAATTTATAAAAGGGATCGCCACAAAGAATTCAAAGCACAAATATAACAGTTATGTTTAAGCTTGGCTAGCTACAATTTGAACGGGCCCAAAGGATGTTTAGACCTCAGTACCCACCACCAGAAAAGCCTCACTGGTGAATTATTTCTTCTTTTACAAACTCATCCACCATTTGATATATAAGTCTTTTTTTAACTACTTAATTTATTTCTAATAACCAACCAAATGTATGTTAGAATCGACAGATATATATGGTTGAGACCCCCAGCCCATACCTTTTGTTTATCCTGGATTCCTGATCATCCTCTCGACATCCAACGGGTAAAAATCAAATTACAGAGGGCCCAGATCATGTGGGACAATATCATACATGCAGAGCACAACACACCATCCTTCAGTGTGGACTAGATCATAATGAAGGCATGTTAGGATCCATCCACCAAAAGACAAAGACCCATTTTGACTTTTAAAACCAACAATCTTCTTAGATCATTGTCGACACAATTTAGTATATTGGATTAATATAAAATATGGAAATAAATTATAAAATAAATTTATAATAAGGAAAATATAAGGGAATTAATTCTCTTTGATTTTGCTTAATGGCATGAGCAATCTCTTATTAATAGTTGAATTCATTGAAAACAAGGGCCGTTGGCATATTTCTCAAAGTTTTGATATAGATTTTCTTGATTTTGGTGTTTGCATAGTTGTTTTACATGTGTTGACCCTAGGCTTCGTGCTTGATCTGTTGTGAAGAGTGCATCTCTAAGAAGATTCTATCTTAATGGCCTGATTTCTTTTGGAAGCTTGAATTCAAGTGTGAAGTAAAAAATTAAGAAGTTTTTTTCTTCTTTTTCTCTCTTTAAATTGAAGTAGAGTTGGAATTTGCAAGAGTTTGTGATTGATTGCAATTCTTAAATATCGGTGCGAGTAAATGGGAGCATCTCAATGTGTATGTGTGATTGTGAAAGAGACCCTCTTTCTTCCTATTTTAAAATGGGAGATAAAGGCAATTTTTAACAGACACGAAAAAGGTAGAAGTTTAGTGGCACCATTGTAAATAATTACATGTTTAGTTAGTGGTGTTCATTATACGGTTCAAACCGCAAAACCGAACCGAACCAAATCAAATTTGCAGTTTGCTTTGGTTTATACCTATAAACATTTTGATTCGGTTTGAGAATTTTCTAAATTATGGTTTACGGTTTCGGTTTGGTTTATTGAATTTTATAAGCCGAACCAAACCATAAATAGTAAATCAAAATTCTATATATAATATCTAAATGGAATACATAAAATTATAAATATATAATGAACTCTTTATTTTTAATAAAATAATAAATAAAATTTTAAGTTCTAATTTTTAGGGGAGCTATTTAGGCTCTCTAATTGGATTAAGCCCAAAAGAATCATAGAATAGTTCAAAGTCCCCAAACTGTATTAGAAACCACAACAAACCGTAATAAAACGGTTTGGTTTGGTTTGATTTCCATACCAAAACGGTTTGGTTCTGTTTAGTTTAAAATTTTCTCAAACCGTAATTTACCAGTTTGGTCTAAGATCTTCTCCAAACTACACCAAATCTGACCATGAACACCCTCTATATTTACTATGAAATATGAAAGAAGAAAAGGAGAAAGGACAAGTTATGATTGTTGTTTAGTTTTATTCAATTGCATCATTATAATTAATTAAATTTGTAATGATAATAGTTAAAAGCATGAAAATAAAAAAAAATTATAAGATATTATAAGATTTTATTTAGATTATATAAAAAAATCAATTTGATAAATTTTCAATAATCCGGCATGGACAACCTTTTGTTTTTACTAATAATTAAGCACATGCATTGCACGTAAGAAATTTTTCTTCATATTAATTATTTGAATTTTAGTTATATCATATTTAAGATAGAAATTGAAAATTAACAAAAGTAATAATACGATTAAAAATGAACTTAAATGCTTGTAGCAAATAATAATAATTATTATTATTATTATTAAATTTTGTATTACATTTTTACCATAAATAAAAATAACTTTTATTTTATAAATTATTTTATTTAATATGATGAATATATAACACCAGAAATGTTCTCAAATGTTTTCAACAAAATTTTGTACATTTTCATTTTTAGTGTTCTATCATTTTTTAAATATTCATTATTCAACTACGACATCATGGGTTTCTTAGAAAAGTTGGATCATTGACCCACCATCTAGATAAGAAAATAGCTTTACTTTTGGATTAGTTTTAAATTAAGGAAAAATATAGTCGGAGCCAGTTGTACATTTAAAATTAGGCTACAAGCTAATCCATAAACCAACAAGACTCTAACAACTGGCTCTACATTTCAAATTATAAAAACCTTCACCATGTCACCAGAGGCTTATGTGGTTGTTGCTAACATAGAACTCTTAATCCATATTAGACACAACAAAAAGCTTATACTAAAATTGCCCTTTAATGTTGGGTGATTGGAAAAATAAAAAAAGGGTTTTTAGTCTTTCTCTCTCTCTCTCTCCCTCTCTCTCTCTCTCTCAATCATCTTTATTTGCTCAATGACTGTGTGATTTGAAAATAAATAAAAATAGTTTTTGGTCAGTATTTACGTTTTCTATATCAATTTCTCTCATTTTCTCTCTCTACCTATCGTTCTTCCTCAATTTCTCTCATTATCTTTTTCAATTAATCTCTCTTTCTTCCTTAATTTCTATCATTCTCTCTCAATTTCTCTCCCGCTCCCTCTTTTATTCTTTTTTTATTTTCTTACACACTTATATGGTATTAATCATATTGTATAAAAGAACACGAGACCAACTTGGTATGATTCAAAAATCATTACACCAATTTAAGGGAGAACGATAGAGAAAGAAAGAGAGAGAGGTTTTGATTTGGCTACAGACCAAAGTTAAAAGAGTGTGAAAAACAAAGGGAGAAGGAGATTGAGAGATGATTATGAGAGTAAGAGAGAAGGGAGGGAGATTTAGATACAGATGGAGTGGGAGAGATACTAAAAACATATTTTTAGTATAGGCTTTTTGTTGTGTCCAACACGGAGTAAGAGTCCCATGTTGGTAACAACCACATAAGCCTCCGGTGACTTGGCAGGGGTTTTTTATAATTTGAAATGTAAAGCTATTTGTCAAAGTTTTGTTGGTTTCTAGACCAACCTGCAACCTAATTTTAAATGTATAACCAATTTTAGCTATAATTTTCCCTTTAAATTATAGGGAAATTGTCTAAAACTCACCCTGAGTTTTTAGCATTTCTCTTTAACTCACAACTTTTCAAAATGTCTAAAAGTCACTGTGTCACTAACTTTATGTTAAACAAACTAACCGGTGTTAATATATTACCATTTTAACCTCCATAGAAACATATATAGTATATACATATATTTTAATAATTAATTAGACATGAAAATAGGAAAAAATTCAAACAAATATTTTCAAATATAAAATACATAAAAACACAAAAAATTCAAAAATATAAAAAATTATAGAAATTGTGAAAAAGTAAAAACTTATTTTCAAATTATAAATTGAAAAACAAAATCAGAAGATAAAAATTGTAGAAAAAACACCAAAAATAATAGACAAACACAAAAATTTCAAATAAATAACAAAAAATACAGAAAAATTTATAGATTGTAGAAAATAGAAAATCATAAAAAACAGAAATTATAACAAAACACTAAAAATCCAAAAAAAAAACATGAAAATCGAAAACTAAAAAAATACCCTTTTCCTCTAACTTGCTATCCAAGGGTAATTTGGTCATGAAAAATGTTATTTATGCTGATGTGCATACCTCTATTAAGAAGCATTAACGGTGCATTAACAGAAGGTAAGTTTTGGAAAATAAAAACTCACTGATATGTTGAGTTTTAGACATTTTGAAAAGTTGTGGTGAGTTTAAGAGAAATGCTGAAAGCTCATGGTGGGTTTTAGAAAATTTCCCTAAATAATATAATTAACATTATATAAAATATTTTTTGCTTATTGCACTTAATTTTTGTTTGTTTGTAGCATCATTTGACTTAATACACTAACCCACCATCTTAAAAGAAAAATAGTTTGATATTTAGGTTGATATTAAATTTTGTATTACATTTCCATCATTGATAAAATTATTTCTTCTATATAAAACTTATTTTTCATCAATATAATAAATGCATAATATTAGCGATGTACCCAATATTTGTTTTTTATAAACATATAACATTAAATATGTATCCAAAATTTTATTATTTGATTATGACATCATTTCATTTCTAGGTAGATTTTAAATTTAGCATTCAATTTTCATCTTTAATAAAAATACTTCTTACTTTTCATAGTTATTTATTTTAATTTCTTTATTATTTAATTATGGCATTATTTATTAATCCATTTGACCCCAAATGGTCGAATTGCTTGCCCACCACTATGAGAGAAGAAAACGGTTTGGTTTTCAAAATATTTATTTTTATACTACTAAAATTAATATTGTGAATTTAATTAGAAGAATTTAATGATATGAAAAATATATATTAAATATAGGATTTAATTAGTAGAATAGAAAATATTTTTATTTCTAATTGGTTTTAAATTTACATTCTATTTCCATCATTTATAAAAACATTTCTTATTTATCATACTTATTATTGTTTAATATACATGTTAAAAATGCTCCCAATTTTTTAATTTCTATTTTTTATTTTATCTATTTTTGAATTTTATTATTTAATCGTGGCAACATGGATTGACCCATTTGACTCAAAATGATTTAATTTCTTACCATTACCTAGATGAAGACACTATTTTTGTTAGGTAGACTTTAAAAGTATAAGCTTTTATGTTATTGGAATTATTAATTTATGGGAAATTGTCTAAAACTCACCATGAGTTTTCAACATTTCTCTTAAACTCACCACAACTTTTTAAAATGTCTAAAACTCACCATGTTAGTAATTTTTTTATTTTCCAATACTCACCTTCTATTTGTGCACCGTTAATGCTTCTTAATAGAGGTGTCCATGTCAGCATAAATAACATTTTTCATGACCAAATTACCCTTGAATGGTGAGTTAGAGGAAAATGGTATTTTTCATTTTTCAATTTTCTTCTTTTTTTTTTTGAATTTTTCGTGTTTTGTTATAATTTCCAATGTTTTTTATAATTTCTGTTTTTTTACATTTTTCTATTTTCTTGTATTTTTTGTTATGTATTTGCAATTTCTGTGTTTTTCTATAATTTTTGGTGTTTTTTCTACAATTTTTATTTTCTAATTTTGTTTTTCAATTTCTATAGTTTCTATAATTTGAAAATAATTTTTTATTTTGTTTGCAATTCTTATAATTTTTTATATTTTTTGTAATTTCTATGTTTTTATGTATTTTATATTTGAAAATATTTTTTGAACTTCTTCCTTTTTTCATGTCTAAATTTTAAAATGGTAATATATTAATACTCGTTAATTTATTTTGTATATATTTTATATTTTTCTATGAAGGTTAAAATAGTAATATATTAACACCCGTTAGTCTGTTTAACATCAAGTTAGTGACATGGTGAGTTTTAGACATTTTGAAAAGTTGTGGTGAGTTTAAGAGAAATGTTGGAAACCCATGGTGAGTTTTAGACAATTTCCCTTAATTTATTAAGTATGGATTTAATTAATAAAACTTAATGATAAGAAGAACAAAAATGACTTAAATATATGATTCATTGAACATAAATGCAAGTTAATAACTTAAATATTGGATTTAATGAAAGAGAATTGAATGCATTGAATATCTTAAAATTACCTTTCTTAAGCTCATTTAATATCAAGAACCGATTACTTTATTTGCCTTCATTTTTTATCAATAAATTTAAATATTATTAGAAAAGTAAATTTTGTCTTTAAAAAATTTCAAAAATATTTTTGAGGGCATTGGTGATTTTTAAAGTAGTATAGATATATACAGCGCCAGCCAAAGGCGTCCATTTTTGTGGGGCAGCTTCCTTTCATAATCAAGGCTTGCAGACAAATGGGTTGACTCAATGTCAACCCATACTTAAGTCCATCGAAGACGACAAAGGAAAAGAAAGAAATTGGTCATTAGCATTCATCAAGGTCTGTGTAACTTGAACCACACAATGGCTACAGCTGCTGGGAGAAAATTACTATACACAGAGGAAAAATCCATCGAATCAGGGGGCCTCACAAAATTGATTAAGGCTGTATTTGGTGCGTCTTTATGAGTGGTCTTTTGAGTGTTTATAAGTTAGGAAGATGAAAATACATGAAGAGCCCATTTTGGACTGATTTTGGGAAGTTTTAAATTAAATTTTTCGTGTTTTTCATATTTTATTCTTCTGCGAAAAGATGCACAAAAAGATGCGTATCTACCAAACGTGCTTCAAACTGTTCAGCTCTTTATGCAAAATCTCAATGCGTATTTTAACTATCAAAATTATCAGAAAATATTTCCAAAAAAACGTACCAAATGGGCCCTAAATTACACCATGCATTTTTTTGATAAAAAAAATAAAAAAAAATCTAACAAGGTTCTGAAAGCAACAAATAATGTACATTGTAGATGTAATGAACAGCCTTAAATTAATGTTGTGTAAAAGACTAAATTCTCTTTGAGTTTTCTCATCAGACAAAGACCTCCCCTCCTTTAACAACCCGTCCAAATCCGTTAGCATGTGATATTAAATGTTGCTAATTGTTTTGAAAACCCAAGTTTGCCCTTTTGTGTTCCTTTGACCATGATTCCAGAAACAACGGATAAATTTCAATAATATGATTTGTTTATTTTCCATGAGAAATTTCAATATGGTTTATGTTTCATTTGTCACAATATTGAAGTGAAGTTCATAACTGTTGGATATTTGGTTTTTGTTTTTGTTTTTCTTCTCTTGGTCTTCTGCTCTTAGTTTATTTCTCAGAACCAGACCAGTTTTTTTTTTTTTTAATCTTTTCTTGTTTTTCTGTGGACCTTCTCAAACTTAACAAAAAGATTCTATTTTCTTATTCTCCTTTATAATCACGTTTTAAAACTTAAAGTTTGCATAGAATTGGCTTTTGAATCTAGTGATCTAGGCTGAATTTTCCTTTCTAGTTATTTCTCTATTTTGATAGTTGATAGTTGATACTTGATACCATTATTTCTTTCTGTTTATTTTCTTTTCCAGAAAAGCAGTGAATTATGTGTTGATCCATTGATTTGATTCCATTACAATGAGCTAAAGATACAATAACAGAGAATTCAGGCCAGATCAAGTGTTGGGTGGAGAGGAGGATTTGAAAGTGTTTATCAAGTAGCTGATGATAAACACTTTCAAATGATGGGGATGACTCTTTTCAGGTCTTCATTTCTATTTTTGGTTGCTCTATTTTCTCTATTTCTCTTTAATGATTCCTTCTCTCTTTCAATTTTGCAGAGAACATGGTTGGTCTATGCATAGGCAGAGGTTATATTTCTGGGACAGATTTCTCATGCAACCAAGCAGACAATCAATCTCTTCCATCTCTAATGACCATATTTTCTCAGAGGAGTCAACAATAATCACTGCTGTTGGATTCCACTATTTTGAAAATTTAAAAACTTAGTAAGGGCAAAAAAGTCTTTTACCCATTAATGTTTTGGTAATTAGACTAAATAAGTAAGGGAATTTTCATCACAACTGTTTGGACAATTAATGCAAAGCAAATATTGGTCCAAGTCTTTCTCCAGGGTCTTGAACGGATAGGACACGGTTGGTTAGAAATTCAATAGTTACCAAAGAATCGGCCGGGTTATAATTGATGTCAAGCTTTCCATTTATCAGACTAATCTGGAAATGGTTGATTAGTTCCACAATTTGCAGAGATTACATGAGCAAGAGGAGTAGCTTATCCACCAACTGGGGTTTTAACTTTGTAATCACAAAGAAGAAATCTGATATGTAATTTGTCTTTCTGAGCATTTGGGGTTTTGAATTGTCACCAACATGAATCACAGAATCCAGGCCTGTCTGCTTGTTCTCTGCCCAATATCAATTCTAGCTGTGCAAGCAATCTCTCCAGATGGTATGTTTGTTTTTTGAAGGAGGATGCAATTAATGTATTCTGTAGTTAATTTAGTTTAATGGATATATGGAATTATGGTTATAGTACAGTTCCTAAACCTGTATTTTTTTTTCTTTCATTTATAAGAGTGCAATTTCAACATTTGAAGTTCAGATATTGAACCTTCATTTCTTTATTTAGTTCTTATGTTTCTTCTTTTTTGTGATACAGAGACTGATACCTCAGAGATTCTAATAATCATTTGACTCAATTCTTTATATATATATATATATAGCTACTTAGAAGTTCATCTGCACTGGCAGCAATTCTGTTGAGCAGTAGCCTCATGACTGTGAATTGGTTAAAACAGAAAGAACAGAATCAGTGAAATTTGAGTTGAGGAATAGAATTATGATAGTCTACTGATGAAGAAGGTTTAGAGTTGAATATTGCTCACAGACAGTCTGAATCATTCTGTTCCGTCTGTTCTAATCCTAACCTTAGCTATTAACTCTTGTTTTTGCTGTTGCTGATGCAGCTGGTCCTCTATATTCGTTGAGGTCTCTCTGGCCAAAAACACCAACAAGCTGGGACAATCCTGATCCATGCAATGGTTGGGTAGGAATTATCTGCAACAACGAGTTTCGCGTCATCTCCATGTAATTACTCCTACTTAGCTTAATTAATGGAGCTTCAAGCTTCTACTGCCGGCTTAAAGATGAAATCATATCATCTTTGCACTAACTATGAATTTCAATCATAGAAAACTGTCAAGCCTGGGCCTCAAGGGTCAGCTGCCTGGAGATATCGGATCCCTAACTCAGTTACAAATTTTGTAAGTGTTCTTCTGCTTGCTTTTTCTGCTACATTAATGTGTTTTTTTTTGGGGGTTTTTATTGAGTTCAGATCTGCGCCCACAACGTCCCACAGCACATCCTCGCCCTCTATTGGGAACATCTCCCGATGATAGTACTAGAACCAATAATATCATCATTGGGAGATGTTCCCAATACACGGCGGCGGAGATGTGCTGTGGAATGTTGTGGGGCGCAGATCTGAACTCGTTTTATTATTCAGTCCACCCCGGAAATCTGAACCCCACCGTACAGGTGGGATGAATTCTAACTGTGGATCGATGCCAAATTTAGGCCAGGATGCAGTTTATAGGGGGGCTACTAGTAGACTAGGAGGAGGTTGTAACTTCAGATTTCTGAGGTGGACTGCAGTCTAATTATCTCGTTTATTTTTCAACAACTTTGGCGCTGTTTACTTTCATTGTCTTTTATTTAAACAGCATTTTGTACAACATGCATCTTGAAAAACCAGAAAAGCAAAAACACTTTATTGACTTACTTTTTTACAAATATGCATCATTAGATGCTATTAAGCACCACATAAGCTGAATAGCAAAAAAACTTGTGGAGAAACATTTTAAATTCCATCAAGGAAAGTGATTATGTGGTGCTGAACTGAACTGGCATACGTTTTTCAGATAAACAGCAATAAAACCAAACACCATCTTTGGGTTATATTGCAAAAATGTTTGTGATTTGTGAAGATTGAATACAAACAAGAATATAGAATAAACAAAATGAAAAAATTAAAGCAGGAATCCTTAAATCAAAGGGAAGAACCATGGGGCAATCTCCGAAATCTTTACAATGTAGGGATAATAGAAGAGTTAATTTTAATTTCTGGAATTACAAAACCAACTCCACCAAAAATGGTAGATACATGATTAAAATAAAGAAATGAGAGAGAAATTTTCAACAACTTAGCTGAAAAATAGCCTCCAAAAATATCCTAAAAAAAGGCCTGATACAGTGAAGAAAGATATGTAGATTGAAACTTGGGCATTGAAAAATCCTTTTTGGCACAAAACAACAAGAACGAACTCTCTTCCACTTCTGCAAAATCTTCTCTTCCAAACTTCCCCTTTCTCCTTTCTTGGGAAGTAAAACAAACCCCTAACTTACGGGTGTAAAATGGGTGAATTGGGTCGGGTTCAGTGACAAACCAACCCCACCCCTAATACCTGTTCTTGGGCCTTGACCTAGCCCAATCCAAGATAAAAGCCCCAAGTTGGCCACCCCAATCCCACATCAATTGAATTCAGTTCTACCTGTGTCAAGCTCGAGATTGTGTGATCTCCGGAGGGCTTGATTGTGCCTTGGTGTATATAATGGTGCAAATATATAATACAAACATATATACATAGTATAGCATAAGTACAAAATTTGTACTTACAAACATGGTTTTTAAAACCAGCCCAGAGACTGAACCAGTCAGGGGTCCGGTTACCGTGTCGAACAGTCTGACCATTCGAACCAAACAGTCAGCCTGTTCTGACAAAAAAAATAAAAAAAAATAATAATAATAATAATAAACAGTCAAAACTGTTCAAATGGTTCGAATGGTTAACTGCCCGGGTCAGCGGTTTGTTAACCAAAATCAAAGGTTTTTGGAGAAAATCCGATTTTTGGGAAAAATGGAACCAATCAGGCGACCGGTTCTTGGTTTTTTCCAGTCAGACCGTCTGGTCCGGTCCGATTTTGAAAACCATGCTTATAAAAAATACAAGTACACAATGTGTATAGACATTTTATAAATAAATCATAAAAGTAACTGGGCAGGCTAAAGTTGGGCCGGGCTCAAGAGGATGGATCAGCCAAACTTGGTCTCAAGCCCCAAAAGCCTTGAAACCAAACCCAACCTATGTTGTGATCAAGTCCAATCTTTTAGGACCAAGCATAATAGAACCCAAAAATTCAAGCCAACCAATAATATAAAAGTTGAATAGAGTGGGCACAACCAAGGCCATGTTTGGGAGTGCTTAAAAATAAGTGCTCATTCAAAATAAATGCTTATTTGGACCGGAATCACACCATTAAACATTTATTGGTGTTTGGTAAATAAGTCCAAAATAAGTGATTATTTTAAAAATAATGGCTTATTTTTAAGCCCAAATTTCTAGTTTTTTAAGTGCTTATACAATAAACACATTCATTTTTTTTTCCAAAATTATCCCTAATTGAATTTTAAAATACCACTTATAAAATTATCCCTAGTTGAATTTTATAAAAATGATTTCATAAAATGCTTTTATAAAAGTACTTTTATAAAATTGCTTTCATAAAAGCAATTTAATAAAAGTACTTTCATAAGGATGTATGTTTTGAAAATTTAAAAGTAAGTGAAGGATAAAATAGTCACAAATGCTTATTCAAGTGCTTATTGGAGAAAAAGACTACCAAATACCCAATATGAAATAAGTGCTTATTTTTTAAAGTTGGATGTCTAATGTAAATAAGTGTTTAAAGGAATAAGCACTTATTTTTAAACATTTATTTTTAACATAAATACTCCCAAACAAGGCCCTAAGTTACATTCCAACCCTTTTTCTCTTCATCAAAGAGCTAAACCATGGCTTAAGATAAATAACCAACTTTTAGCTGGTTTACCTAAGAAGCCAACTGAAGAGGCCTTTGACTTGAACTCTATTCGCCCAAGTGGCGATGGAATTGGTTTCAATTCTTTCAGAACTGTAAATTCTGATGTTATTCTTGTCAAAAGATGCAATCTCGCCTGATTCTGAGTTAATTACTGCAGGGACATGTCTTACAACAAAGGTCTGAATGGCCCTATCAGCGGAGCAATTGCTGGCTTGACGAACCTTACAAACCTGTAAGAAAATATGATGAATAAATGAAGTGGTAGAATCCGTTCAGGTCATTTGCAAAGAAGTAATTAAGTTTTTATTTTCCTTTGTTCTTGAAATTGTCACAAAAACACATTCTTTAGGTTCAGTTTGGAAAGAGTATAAATGTAAATATGTACAGTGTAAATACATACAAAATATAAGGTTTTGCGTTCTACACTTTTGCATTTGTGGGTGGCTCAGTTGGTATATTTGTTTGTTCATGTTGGTTTATTTCAAGAAAAAATAATACACGTTTTTTAAACCATTAAGGTAGTGTTTGACAACCAAAAAAAATCAATAATATTGTCGAACACCCCCTAAAATGATGGTTTTAAAAATAAAAGCAAATTTTGTAGCGAAGAAATTATCTAGTTGCTTTTCTTTTTAAAAATAAAATCAATCATACTGTCAAACACCCCCTAAAGTAATGGTTTTTTAAAACAAAAGCAAACTTTATAGCATAAAAGTTAAGATGAAAACATGTTATTTAAAATGGAAATTTAAGAACATGAGTATTTTTCATTTTAATGTGTTTTTTTAACAAACTTATTTTCCAAACCACTTTTTGCTATGAAATCAAAGCCTTAGACATGATGTTGTGGCCCTACCATGAATTAGATGAGGTGACATGGTGGTAGGGCCACAGCAATACATTGAAGCATGATTTTCAAAACTGGAATAGACCAGATGGTCGGACCGGAAAAGTCGGGAACAGATCAGTTGATCGGTTTTGTTTTTTGCCAAAAACGGATTTTGACCAAAAAACATTGATTTAGTCAGCAAATCGCTGACCCGGGTGTTTGAACTGTTCGAACCGTTTAATGGTTTTGACCATTTTTTATTTTCTAATTTTTTTATTAAAACGGGCCAACTGTTCGACATGGAAAGCAGACCCCTGATGGGTTCGTTCTATAGGTCGGTTTTAAAACCTTGCATTGAAGGCCATGAATCATGGTTTTAGACACAGGGCTAAAAGCCTAAAACCATGTTATAGTCAAAGTGAACTCTGTTTTCGAAGCAGCTGGTTTAGTTTTCTTTTTGGAATTTCAACAAGAAAAACAATACACAGAACACCCTCCTAAATCAATGGTTCTCTTCATGTTTAGGATTCTGATTGGATGCAGTTTCTCGGGGGTGATTCCTGACAATATAGGATCTCTGCAGCAGCTGGTCATTTTGTAAGAATTTGAATCTTTTTCGTTTCTTTGGTAAATAATTTGAACCTTAAAAGATAATAATCTGCTCATTCAATGGGTTAATAGATACAATATTAAGGGCCCATTTGGTGGTGGCAATAAGGGCTTGGAATTCGGAATCAGAACCCCAACTGTTTTGGTTGGATGGAATTGAAGTTTCATTCTCATTCTTGGTGGAATAGCATTTCCTCATTATGCCCATTCCCTCTCCTCCCTTGACAATAAAATTCTATTCCAGTGGATTTCAATTCCTATCTGAACCAAACAAATTATCAGAATAAATCATTCTTATTCTGATTCTGATTCTGATTCCCATTCTAAATCCATATTACATGGTGATATAGAATATCATGATAAATTCTAGAAGAAATCATGGATTGATATGCAACGGGAAGATAAAGGGGCCATTTGGGAGGGTTTTAACTATGATTTTAGCTGCCTAAAGTTACCGTGGTAGAGATTTGTTCATAGAGCAATGTAAATAGGAGTCCAGATCACATAGCATGTTAAATGAGAACTTTCAAATTTTTTTGACACCTGTCCCTTGAAATACCCCCAATCTACCCTTGAAAAATATTAAAAACAACTTTTAACAGTTGTCAAAATATTTATAAAGTGTTCACTAAATGTGCTTCCTCTGTGCCTACTGGTAAATAGCTGTACAATATCAAAATTTGGCTTCCCAAATTATTATTATTATTTTTTATGTTCTAAGCTTCCTGAATTCTTTATAAACATTGCCTTTAGGCTTTGCTGGTGGGCCCCACCTCATAAAATCCCCAGAATTAAATAGAAAACCTTTCTAAATTCTAATGGACTCCATTGAATCCACATTATCTTAGCAATGATCATTTATGGCCTGGCCTGGCCCAGCCCACTTTGATTGGCCAGCAAATTTCTGGGCCCGATCAGCCATATAGTCATAATATTTTTAAATATACTTTTCCCATAAAGTTAAATTAAAATTTTAATTTATATGGGTGATCCTGGATGTCCGACCCAGGTTGGACCTTGACATATAATATCAATCCCAAGATGTGGGTTGGGCTGGGCCTGGTCCAAGCGGGTCTTAATGGTATTGATGCCATGTAAAAACCAGACCTTGTCACACTCTCTAGACGGATAGATCCCGGGAATTAAAACCTTTTTAAATATTTTTCATAAAACATATAACAAATCTCAAATAAGTTTGAAATCAACTGCTAGTAGTTTAAGTTGCCATCAGAGAGAGTATTGTCCCCGATCATTCACTTTGTCTGACAAAGGGGTTGATTCTATCACTATGATCACCCACTCAGGTGAATTTTCAGACTGCCCCAACATACCAGGTTTTGACCCCGTTAAGGATCTCGCTGATTGGTATATCAAAGAAAGCCCAATTCAACACATAGTGTAGTATCATAATCAAGTTTAGGGGTTAGGTGTAACTTTCCAATTTTGCCCATCAATATCCAAGGTCCAGGGCACAACTAGAAATTGGTCTGGTTCAGTGTTTCTAATAAATATACACTACATGTGCTTCGGGTCTAATCCTGGCAACTGAGACAAGCTAATCCAACCAACTTGGCAGCATATTAGTGTTAGCCTTGGCAGGATAAACCTCCCCAGGTCTATCTAATGGCTGAAAAGATTTTAAACTAATATGAGTCTCATAAGTGTCCAGTTTAAAGGTAATTACATGGAAACATAGAAAATATAACATGAATTAATTATGTACTTTATTCATTTACAATAAATGGATATATACAATAATCTGATTGGGGCTAAGGGCATACACTGTCTAACACTAATCCAATCTCCTCACCTTATATAAGGATCATTCTGGAGGCCCCTCAAAGATGATGTTGTTAAAAGTCCGATTTAGGGAAATGGGTCTAATGCAAGTTTGAAGGGTAATAAGGCTGCATTTCCATTCCTTGTTTTAAGGACTTATCTCCTTTTTACAATTAAAATGCCTCTACGAACATTAAGTTTTTAACAACAAAAAGGAGATAAGTCCTTAAAATAATGAATGCCAAATACAGCCTAAGAGAGCCAGAGAGGAAAGGGTTAAGCTTGATGTAGCAAAAAGTGTTTTAATAGAAAGGTCATTACCCAATGTTGGGGTCTTGGGAAGTGATGGATTGGATACAATCCTAAACCTTTGTCATGTTTTTTTCTTTGCACAAAGTGGCCACCTTCATATTTGAACCCGCATTCTCATATTTACCAGTAGGGGTTGATACAATCCGAGCTTTCTATGAGCTATTCAATCTTAGCTGTGAAAAGCTTGATCCATCTCAATCTAAACCAAGCTTGGAGACGAGAACGAATCTAATCATGTTCAACTCATGACTCTAATTGAGCTTATATTATATATAACATTTTTAATTTTTTAGACATTATATATATAAGAAAAAAATTATATGTTTATATGAAGCTTGACTCATTATCAAGATCAAACCAACATATAAGCTTTTGAGTCGAGCCAAATTTGAACTGAAGATTCTAGACCGAATTGAGCTTGAGCTCGAAATCAAACCTCAGGTTTTTCTACCGAACCAAGCTCAAATACTTAGATATTCAACTCGGTTCAGTTCGGCTCGAATCCACTCCTATTTGGCCCCCCCTAACTAAAAAGAAGATTTAACCATTCTCATTTAATAATGGATTCACATGGAATGGCCAAAAGGATTCACATATTGTACAACAATAGAAACATCACATTTATCTAATTTATAATATAATAAGCATACTAGGATTGAAAAAGAAGAAGGAAAGCTGATGAATTTTATATTGCATATTATTCATGTAAAATTTTACTGATGAGATTCTTCGTTCTCAACCATTCTATTCTATGTAGATCTCTGAATTTTAACAGTTTCAGTGGAACAATACCTTCTTCCATTGGTAAACTATCTAAACTTTATTGGTTGGATCTCGCTGACAACAAGCTCACTGGAACCATTCCTGTCTCTAGTGGGAACCAACCTGGTCTGGATATGCTAACCCATACTAAGCATTTGTATGTACCATCTCATTTCATCGTTGTATTAGTTCCAAATTAATTTGTTTTATTCTTTCTCCAACTCATTTGAAATATAAATAATGTAAAGTTATGCCCTTTTTATTAAACAGTCACTTCGGAAAGAACCAACTCGGTGGTGAAATCCCGGCTCAACTTTTCAGAGAAAACATGAGTCTTATACATGTGTAAGTTCTAGACCAGCTAGTATTTGTTCAATTAAAGACCTGATTCTACAATTTACTTGCATAAATTTAAGGTGAACTTAGCCAAAGAAAGATTTTCCTATTATCTAAGCATAGGGTCCCGTTCGTTTTTTCGATTTTGAGAGGGGAAAATGTCATCAATGGGATTTTGGTTCCCATTAATCAAGATACCCATGTTCTGTTTTCAGATTTATGTGGGGTTCATGAAAATTTTATTTTCCGTGGGTATCACTTACACCCATCTCCCAAGTGGGTAAAGAAGTTTCCCACTAGGGGAGAAAATTGACAACACCTTGATGAGACAAAATTGTCCCATTTAATAATGGGTTTTTATGGTTAAAACAGTCATTAATTATCTTTTTTACACATTTATGTAGAAAAATATGTATAAAGCACTAGGCAAGTTATATATAAAAGTTATATACGTTATCTTTGTTGGAAATCATTCTGCAATAAAATTCATGTAGGCCACTTAATTAGTTTGATTTAAGATGTCTGATCACTTCATTCATCTGAGATTTACATCCACTAAAACTCTTTAAAATCCCAACCAAATGCCTAGATTCTTCCTAGAATCCAATATCTTTGTACAGAATTGTAATCTTTGAAAGCTATCTCATCTTTGCTAGTCTATATGTCTTGCCAACAGAAGGAACAAGGTATTGTCAGGATTGATATATATCTGAGAAAGTTTCTTACAGTGGGATCAACTGTGTTCCTGTGAATCAAGGCAGAGTAGTTCAGAATTTTTATTTGTTTTCCTTGAAATACTAATTGATTGTTTTGAGCAGGATTTTCGATAATAACAAATTTACTGGGCCTATTCCTTCCACAATAGGACTATTGAACAAATTGCAGGTTCTGTGAGTATTCAACATCCACTCATCTAATGGTCGATTCATTCTAAATTTTCTACTACTACTACTACTACTACTAATGGATTTTCTGTGTTCTGGTTTCGACCATTTTTATCCCTACAACAGGCGCCTTGACAGGAATTTATTAAGTGGACATGTCCCTTCGAGCCTCAACGATCTTACAGACCTCCAGCAGCTGTGAGGACTGAGGACAAATTATAACTCACTCTCTTAAAGCTTGTTTGAGTGAATGGAAAGTGGTTTATATATATTTCACTGCACCTTGAACTGACTTTTGGCCCTCCATTTTCAGGCAATTGTCTAACAATCAACTGACAGGCCCAATGCCTGACCTAAGTGGCATGAAGAACCTCAACTATGTGTAAGTAGGCAGCAAGAAGCAAAACATGTCACTTAAATGAACTTTAGTTCTTCTCATCCTTCAGTTTCAAAATAATCTGAAGTACATATTCTTATACCAAAACATATTTTATTTCTGAGATGAACATATGTGCCCTGTAACATTTGCCACAGTTCCATGTATTTCACTAACCCCTTTGTGAACTGCACCTTGTAGGGACTTTAGTAATAATACCTTTGAGGCATCAGATGTTCCACAATGGTTTTCAACCTTAAAAGTCTTGACCACATTGTATCTCTCTCTCCCTCTCTCTCTCTCTATCTATCTATCTATCTATCTATCTCTTTCTATCATATATCTAATCTTGCTAGCTGGTATGCAGAATAATGGATAACACACAACTTCAAGGATCATTAACATCGGCCCTGTTCAGCCTACCTCAACTGCAAAGTGTGTAAGTATTAGCTGACTTTCAAGTCTCAAGAGCACCACATTAACTAACTAGTTCATCAAGTATTATAAAGAAAAATGAGAGATTTATATAGACATCCTCATAGCATATATAAATGAGCATGCAATTACTTCGAGCATTAAAATTAAGCAAAAAATGAGAGATTTATATATACATCCTCATAGCATAAATAATAGATGCTTAGAGCGAGGATTATGGTTTAAAAATGTGGTTGTGAATGGCAGGAATCTAAAGAACAATCAAATCAATGGTACCCTAGACCTCGGCTATAACTACAGTGCTGCATTGCAAATCGTTGATGTGCAGAATAATCAAATCATGTCTGTGCAAGGTCATGAATACCATAAGAAGTTGCTGTATGTTTCTTGACTTTTCAATATATTCAGAGATGAATTGTTATTAGCATTTTTAATCAACTTTGTCATGCATGAATTCTCTTCTATAAGTACAGCCTCTCACTACTTTTATTTCAGTCTAGATGGTAACCCATTCTGCAGCAGAAACACTGGAGCTGATCCATTGAACTACTGCACGAATCAAGAGCAATCAATTCCACCATATTCCACAAGCAAAAAAAACTGTGGCGCTGATTCCTGTCCTTCAGATCAGGTGTCCAGCCCCAACTGTAAATGTTCATACCCGTACATGGGCACCCTATATTTCAGAGCTCCTTTATTCTCTTGGGTTGGTAACATGACCTATTATTATGAGCTGGAAAAAACACTTACTGGATCATTTAAAAAACTTCAACTTCCAGTAGATTCAGTTTTTCTGAGTAACCCCAGAAAGAGCTCAGATAATTACCTTGAATTGGATCTCCAAGTCTTTCCTTATGGAACAGAACGCTTCAACTTTTCTGGGCTCTCAAGTGTTGGGTTTGTTCTCGGCAACCAAACCATTAAGCCCCCACCATCTTTCGGGCCATTCTTTTTCATTGGTTCAGAATACAAGGCCTTTGCAGGTAATAAAAAGACTCCACTACTACAAGGAAAATTTTGATCATGTCTCACTCTAGTATATATTTCTCTTTGATTCATGACTCAGAATCATCCCCAACATCGAAAAAGTCTATGAGCCTTGGAGTAATAATTGGAGCAGCAGTTGGTGTATTTGTTCTTGTGCTAGCACTACTTTGTGCAGGATATTACGCCTTTCGTCAAAAGAGAAGAGCTGATAGAATTACAGAGCAAAGCAAAGCTTTTTGTAAGGCCATGATTTAATTGAGGAAAGTTTTAATCAATTTTCCTGATACCCATGTGGTGAACATTATTTGATGGCTTTAATGGCAACCAATGCAGCTTCTTGTGATGCCAGTAGCAGTGGCAGCATACCTCAGTTAAAAGGAGCAAGATGGTTCTCATTCAATGAACTTAAGAAATGCACAAACAATTTCTCAGAGGCCAATGTCATTGGATCTGGGGGTTATGGGAAGGTAAGCTATTGTTCTATGTCTCTTGTTTGATCATGAAGAGCCTATTTAATTATTCTGATGATGAAGATATATTTGTATACAGGTTTACAAAGGAACACTTTCTGCCACTGGCCAATTGGTTGCCATTAAAAGAGCTCAAAGGGGATCAATGCAGGGTAACGTTGAGTTCAAAACTGAGATTGAGTTGTTATCTCGGGTTCATCATAAGAACCTTGTCACTCTTGTGGGATTTTGTTTCGAGAAAGATGAACAAATGTTGGTCTATGAATATGTTCCAAATGGTACTCTAAAGGAAAGCATTTCAGGTACTTCAACTCATTTGCTTCTTCAAAAGTGAATCTATTTTCTCTTTTTCTCTGGAAACTTATTAGCTATAGCATCTGAACCTTATAACATTGTGTAGCTAATTATGAGTGTTTCAAAATCCCTCATAGTCAATCATATATTATCAATATAACAAGCAAAGCAAAAAAAAAAAAAAAAAAGTTTTTAGTTTCTACAGGCAGGATTCATTGATTTATTTGAAAAGCTCATCCTCATTACTTGGGGTTTTATTTATTGATGTATATGATTTGTGCAGGGAAGTCAGGAGTCCGATTGGATTGGACAAGGAGACTTAGGGTAGCCCTTGGCTCAGCCAGAGGTTTGGCTTATCTACATGAACATGCCAACCCTCCCATAATACACAGAGATATCAAGTCAACCAACATTCTCCTGGATGAACGCTTAAATGCAAAAGTTGCTGATTTTGGACTCTCCAAGCTTATGGCTGACAATGAAAAGGATCATGTCAGCACTCAAGTCAAGGGGACAATGGTAAGTGAGTACTCAGCTATGCATCTGTTCAAACAATCTCTGGTATTGCTCGAAATGTTAAATAAAGATGTCTTGTGTTGTATTGATGCAGGGTTACATGGATCCCGAATATTATACCTCTCAGATGTTGACAGAAAAGAGTGATGTATATAGTTTTGGGGTGCTAATGTTAGAGCTGATAACTGGCAGGAGACCAATAGAGAGAGGGAGATACATAGTGAGGGAGGTGAGAGTAAAGATGGATAAGACAAAGGATCTATATGGCCTAGATGAACTTCTTGACCCAGTCATTGTATTAGGCACTTCTCTTAAAGGATTAGAGAAATTTGTGGATCTAGCCATGAGGTGTGTGGAAGAATTAGGATCTGACCGCCCAATGATGAGTGAAGTGGTGAAAGAGATCGAGAGCATTCTACAGTTGGCTGGTCTGAATCCAAATGTTGATTCTGCATCCACTTCAGAAAGTTATGTAGGTTCCAGTGGAAGTCACACCCAACATCCTAACAGTGACAGTAAGGAGTTCTTTGATGATAGTGGGGGTTATCCACCTTGCAAGGTAGAAGCACAATGAGTTGAAGTGTCTGATTAGGCTCTGTTTGGTGTAAATGTATAGAAGTACATGCAAATGGGCCGAGTGTCAATCCTGGTTTTCTATTGCTTCAAATTAATTTAAGCTTTTCTTTTTTTATTTGTAAGAAGTAAAACAGGAAGTAAAAGGATGTAATCACACAGCACTGGCTATTTGGCTATGATTTGCAGGTACAACAGAAAAAGAAGGTAGTTTTCTCAAGTTTCTAAATTATTTGAAGATTGTTTGGATTAATTTTAGGCTGCATTTGGCATTCCTTATTTTAAGGACTTATCTCCTTTTTGCTATTAAAATGCTTCCATGAACACTAAGTTTTTAACTGCAAAAAGGAAATAAGGAATGCCAAATGCAGTAATAGTCTTCACTTTTCCTTTTTGATAAAGACATGGTCATGGAAATGGATCAGGTTTGATACCAATTTTTTTTCCATAGGCTGCGTTTGTTTTAGGTGTAAATTCAGTTTTACACCGATGAAAAAGTTTGTGCCGGTTCGGTGATCGATGGAAAATTAGAACCGGGTGAATTTAAATTTTTACACTGATGATGTTTGGTTGTCACAGTGTAAAGTGAAAGGCTTCCACTCTGTTTCTGCTCTGAAACTCTCCCTATCTCGGCAATGCAATGCTGGAGACTAGCGTGTCATCGCCGGATAATTTCCTCTTCGGAAAATACGAACTCGGGAACGACTCTCTCTCTCTCTCTCGATATTCCCCACCTTAGTCTGCTTCACCGCCATCCTCTTTCTCCGTGAGGTCCCACCGTCCTCTAGCTCCACCCAAGAGAAAGAAGAAGATCATTATTTTTCAATATCTTCAACAACATCATCACCATCATTATAGCTGTTTATCTATTGGCTTTTGATGTCACCGGAAATCATGGCCGACTTGTTTCCATTACTTTTCATCCTGCTAGTTGCACCCTTGGCTATCCCGTTGTACTCTGGATTTCAGAACTAGGGACAGAAGTCAAGATCCAGAGATCTTGAACATCAGATCAAAGAGCCATTGTTGGTTCGTGGAACCACACCAGTGACACAGCAGCAGAAGCCACAGGCGGAGATGGGGGAAGTGGAGGTGAGGCCGTCACCCCCTGTGATCGGAGAAGAACACACGATCCTAGAAGTGATCAAGATCTTCCATTTCTTTATTCAGTTCTTATGCATCTTCTTTACGATGATCCGGAGACTGGTCTCTTCCAGATTCTAACCAAACATCTACTTATAATGTTCTGAGCATTATCCCCATATAGAAAAGTAATTGACAACACCAATTCATCTGAATTTATGTTCAAAACCCAACTTACCAAACTAGTACTGTAGAAATTAAATTTACTCATAAATTCTCCTCTAGGTTGGTTTTTCAAATTTGTTTGTCTTTGTAATGATTGGGGAGGGCTACTGTAAAATACAAAAACTTTCCCTAAATTTTCTGACAATCATAAAAACTTCCCTTATAGTTTCATTTTAACAAATATCTCTCCTAAACTTTTGAGAAATTCAACAAAAGCCTCCCTTCTGTCATTGACACATTAGATTGATGCACCAATTTTTTTTAAATACTCATTCTACTCTTTTATAAATTATTTTACATACAAAATTACTCAAATAACTCCATTTTAATTCAACAAAAACCTCTTTTAACAATTATTTCATTAATTTTACATACAAAATTATTGAAATATGTTTTTTGTTGAGTTAAAATGCGATTATTTCAGTAACTTTGTATGTAAAATAATATATAAAAGGGTAGAATAGATATTTGGAAAAAACTGGTGCATCAATCTAACGTTTTCGGTATGGGACAGTGACAAAAGGGAGGTTTTTGTTGAGTTTCTCAAAAGTTCAGAGGAGGTATTTGTTAAAATGAAACTATAGTGGAAGCTTTTATGATTATCAAAAACTTTAGGGGAGGTTTTTGTATTTTACCCTTATTATTATAGATTCACTTTGAATTATGTAAAAGAAAACTGAAAACTGAAAACCATGGATTCACTTTTGGACCCAACCCGAATGGAGGACCAATGCTAAGTTGCTAGCATCGAAGGCCTCAGTCAAATATTGCAAAAAGGACATTAAGCACCTCAGATTAGGGGTGTCTGGACCGGTTTTGGGTTGGACGGATTGAATGGACTGGATGGATCAATATGATATATTGGATTGGACCTGGTCCATTCATACTGAATTTATATTGGATTGAGCCAATATCTGGTCCATTGATAGAAGATAAAAGCATAGGTGTCAATGGACCAGGTTTGAGTTGAAACCAATCTAAATTAACAAGAATTTGAACAGATTGGACAGTCTCTAGACCGATCCAAAATGGTCCAATCTATTTATTGGATTGGATTGGACCAGGTCCATTTGTAATGGACTCACATTCGACCGGGACCAAATCCAATCCAATTGACCCTCGAAAGTCAAAATACTAAAACAAACTTCACTAGAAACCCAATATTTTGGCTAAATGACAATGATAAACAAAAAACGAAGTAAAACAGTACTGATAAACAAAAGTAAGAAACAGGATACAAACAGATTTACGTGGTTTAGTTTAGTCTACACCCATGATGGAAGGAGAAGCAAAAATTTACTATAAAATCAATAATATAGATTAATTACAGGTTACTCACAAAAACCCTAAACCCCAAAAAACACCCCCTTCCTCCCTCCTCCCAAACTACAGCCCTAATTCTTATTCAGGTCGGAACCAATAAACTGAATATGAATCGGATTTAATGACTCAAACCCTATCCTTGTCACTCATTGCTCTCTCTCTCTCTCATCCCTCGTTGACCTCCTTACGAGTCTTTGTTTCCTTGGGAATTGGGTAATGACCTCCTTATAATAAGTCAATGCTTATCGCTCACCCAAGCAACATGGGGATCTGGGTCAGCATTGTACAAACAAATCGTGGTGGCTGTAGTTTTCACCTGCCGTGTATTAGGAACATCATCTGATGAAAATACCAAAAATGATGATATCATCATTGAAAGATGTTTCCCCATACATGGGTGGGAATGTGCTGTGGGACATTGTGAGGGACAATCTTATCGGGGGCTGATTTGAAATCTTCTTTTTCTTTAAATAATGAACCAGCAATTTGGTCCATGGTGACAAAGTCAAATGAATATAACATTGCACCAACTACATACTTCCGCTACTCTTTTTCGTTAAGCAGGGCGACCAGGAATTTGGAGTCATTGGGTCCATGATGACCAGGCTAAATCAAATTGCCAAGTGGTAATATTCTATTGTTATCAACTTCCATATCGGGGACCCGAAAGAAATTTGGAGTCATTGGGTCCATGAAGACCAGGCTAAATCAAATTGCCAAGTGGTACTATTCTATTTGTTATCACTTCCTTGGAACAGCCATCCAGGTTGTATTTATGGGTTTGTAAGGTGGCTGGTTGGTGGTCCTTGAATCACCAAAGATTCTTGGAGGGGCAGGGCAATACCTGGCTCCGGACCCTATGGACCTGTAAGATTGTATTGTAGCCTTGACTTGCCACGTGTCCTATATTAAGAGGATAAGGTCCCACCATGGAGACTAATTGCCAAGTGGTACCTCACTGGTGGCCCCATAACTGAGACAATCCCGGTCTCCCATTTGTAGAGATCAATTGTCTATGTGAAGTGAAACTTCTTATAATGTGAACAGAGGAATTACAATGTTAAGGAGTAAGGACACCCAAGACCCCAGATTACTGGGACCAACATTGGGTAATGGTAGGCAGAGGGCCTCTTATTTAACTACTCTCGTATAGATGATGAATACACACATACATAGTCTATATTATTTTGTCCAAAGATATAAAAAGATGACAGGACGTCAGGATCAATAAACACAAGGATGCAACCAAACAAAATATAGTGATGTGCAGAGATGGTCATCCAACTACTACAAGAATATTTCAAAAAGAATTTAACAAGTTTGTGATATGCTTTTTTTTTCTCCTACAACTATTGACTTTCCTGCAACTGCTAGGTAAGACTTTCAAAATCGATTGCTCATGGGGAATACTTATAAACAATATAGATATTTACATGACGAAAATTAGATGTAAGCCTTTTTATATGGTTTAAAAGAACCAGGTATGATTGGGAAGAAATTTGAAATTGTCAAAGAAGAAGAGAAAGAACAAGAAGAAAGAGGAGGAAGAGCTAAGAGAGTAGTTTTCCTGGGTTCTAATCAATGTTTAGCTTGTCATACAACAGATACATGAAAACAATTGATGGATCTCTAGAATAGCCAAAGGGTACATGAGAAAGAATACAGTTTTATCTATTGGGACTTCAAAACAAAGGAGTTTTCAAGTTTTGCAGCAGTTGTGTAAGAATCGCCCACCAATGAAACTGTGATAGAACTTGTCATCTCTTTGACATTTGGGTTTCTGTGACAAATGGATCAAAGAATCAAGGCGTTCCTGCTCGTTGTTCTCTTTCAAGTTTCATCTGCAGCTGCACAGACAGATCCTCAAGATGGTATGTTTGATATTCTGATTTTATTCAGCATAGAAAAGTGGAATGATGGTTGTAGTTTCAAGTAAATTACTTTGTTGAGTTTGATAGAGAATAACTGTATCAGAGAGGGCCACTAAACTGTCCACAAATTCAATTTCAAGTTAATTACTCTGTTGAGTTTGATAGAGAATAACTGTAAAACAGGATTCATGTAGTGACCCATATAGAAGGGACAAGGTTCTGTAAGAAAAAGTTTGAGTTATTTGCAAGAGATAATCATGTACCTTAGGCTATAAGTGACCATTTTGTATGCCAAAAAGGCTTAAAAATCTCGTTTTCCTAACCAAACTGCTGTTGGCACTGATTTTATTCTTTCTTTTCACTCCATCATACTTTTCTTTTAGAATTCTTATTCCTAGTAAATAGGCACCAGAAAATGATCTTTGTATAATATTTCTTTCTTTTTGTTTTTCCTAATGCAGCTGCTGCTCTGAATTCATTCAAGAGACTATGGAAAAATACACCACCCAATTGGAATAATCCAGATCCCTGCAATGGCAATTGGGTAGGAATTACCTGTAATAGCAATTTCCGTGTAATCTCCATGTAAGTTGATAACATTAACAAATATTATATACTACTTATGGATGATCTTTTATTCTGAATCTCTCACTTTATACCTTACACAACCAACTTCAATGTTTAGAACATTGTCAAGCATGGGATTGGAGGGCCAGCTGTCTGGGGATATTGGGTCCCTATCTGAGCTACAAACTTTGTAAGTCTTCTATTAGTACTTCACATTCTTTTCCCGTTAAACCAAGATATCTTTAACAACTTTCTGCTTCAGGTTTAAAACAAGAAGATGGAACAACCTGACCAGATGGCCTCCCCCTTCCCCCAAGAATTACCCACTGGCTATCTTCAATTTATTTCTTTTTTATGTAATAGTTTATGATTTTAATCTTATGAAAAGAATTATCCCTAATTAACAGTTGATTCATGCAGAGATCTATCTTACAACAAAGGTCTGACTGGTTCTCTCCCGGAAGCAATTGGGAGCTTGATGAAGCTTTCGAACCTGTAAGAAATCCATATACTTTTCTAAATATTAGTTCAAGTTCAACTAGTTTGTAATAAGAACAAAGTGACTTAACCAACTAGTTTTCTTCCTATATCAGGATCCTCCTTGGGTGCAGTTTCTCTGGGCCGATTCCAGATGCAATAGGATCTCTGAAGCAACTGGTTTTTTTGTAAGATTTTGGAATTTGAAAGATAATTCTTCTGTTTTGTCGAATGATTTAATAAAAATTCTCTTTCTCATGAATTCTCATCTCTTGACATTCAATAAATGATAAAGTCATGCAGTCATATATCTCATTTGAGTAGGAGATGAAGAGGATGAAGATCCTGAGGCTCCTTAAATATGCTATTTGAAACTTCCTTTTATTTCTTCTTGAAAATTATTTTTTCCAATAATTAAGTTGAAAGTGCTTCTAATAATCTCCTAATTCCATCTTTCCATTATTGCCCAATAAGAACCATCTTTCAGTTCCTTATGATTTAATATGTTGTGGACAAGTTATTTGACCTCCTGTACCAAATATATGGAAACACGACAAATTTTTTAACATTCTTGCAACATAATTTCAACTCTTGGAAACATCAGAAGTATCACCAAAATTTTAGAAAATGATAATCAAACATGAAAATATACACACTAAACCATTTAACCAACTATGAAAAATAAAAGGAGAAATTATATAGTTGAGTAGAAAATATTTTATCCACGTCTCTCTGAAACTGATTAACTGCTAGCCATGAATTTATCAATAATAATTTAACAAATAGAAGCATAAACATCATGTTTCTTCAGGGTCTAATTACCTTATACCATAAACAACACCAAGTAATTAGTTGCATCCTGATTTTTGGACAACAATTTGGCCCAAAGTTATAAAACTATTAATTCTCCTCAACATTTTTTCCCTTGAGTAAATACCATATTAAATACCACCTTTTTTTCTTAGTATAATAACTGATTGCCCTAATAAGTTTGTATAAATAATTTCCCCCCAATGTAAATAGAATTAAATATTATTACTTCAAATGTTTCCTCATCCTTCTTCTCCAAATTTTTTAAAGTCAATCCTCTGTAAACATATGATTTAGTTCAAAATAAATAAATAATTATGCATGTTGTAACCATTAAGGAGGTTCTTTCTAATGCAAATGGTTTTCTTCTCTAAAAAACAACTGCCATGTCAGCAAAAACAATACACTTTCTTCTGATGTGGTAGTTGCTTTTTTTAGAAAATAAAACCATTAACATTTGCAAACACCCCCAAGTTTCCATGCATTTTTTTCTCAAGTAAAACAAGTTATTATGTAAATGTTAGAAAACCCATTCAAACAAATTTTCAGTCCATAGAGGTTGAAACATCACGAATTATTTTACCCCAGAAAAAAAAAGGAAAAAAGAAAGAAGCAACATTCATATGTCAGTTCAGAACAGAATATAATAGCTGTTACAAAAACCAGATCTCATGCTATAGTATATCTAATTGAGAAAATCTCTGTATATAAATCCAAATATGAATCAGATATCTCAAAGAACCACATCTGCAGAATTATATGATATGTTAGTACACAGTTCAAAGTTTTTACCTGTCTTCCATTCCATAATGTTATTTAAATATGATTTGAATGACCAAAAAATGTGAATGGACATTAGTCGTATCATAACGAATATACTGAGGTACTGGGATGTCAGGGATAAGATTCAGAAATTCAAACCATTTTGTGATACTGCATTCATCATCATCAGCCAAGCCTTATCTCACATTTTTTTATACTGCATTAACCGATAAAAATTAGATATTTAGCAATTCTAATGCAAGATGTTTCTAGCTCTATTTTTCTGAAGAGGATTTGTCTGAAATTATGCACTGTCATTCTCTGCAGATCTCTAAATTCTAATAGCTTCAGTGGTGAAATACCACCTTCCATTGGTAATCTATCTAAACTTTATTGGTTGGATCTAGCTGACAACAAGCTTACAGGAACGATTCCTGTATCTAGTGGGGGCACGCCTGGCCTAGACATGCTAATCCATACCAAACACTTGTATGTCTAAACTTAGTCCAATTGAATTGGTTTTATTCCTTACTTGGAGTCATTTTAAGTCCAAATAATTAGAATTATGCCCATGGTGCAGTCATTTTGGCAAAAATCAACTCAAAGGCACCATCCCGTCTCGACTTTTCAACCCAAACATGGTTCTTATACATGTGTAAGTTCTCTAAGTGAGGTAGCTACCATAGAAAATGTTATTTTTCCATTAAACGATTGTCTTGTCTATATGCATACATGCTACTGATGCTAGTGTGTAAATAGAACAATATAATTTTTACTTAGAAGTTATAGATTCAAGTTTCAAACAAATTATTTTCTATTCATTTCGTTCATGATATGATAATACCAAAGGTATTTTTACTTCACTTTATTAATAATGTTTAATTTTTGTATCATTTTTGTGTTTATTTTAGAAAGCCTAATCAATATGCGATTGCAATCCAAATTCAATAGAAATCTTATATAAATCCAATGGCTAAGATTTGATTTGAATCTAAATATAAACAAATTGAAATTGGATATACCTAATATCTGATTCAATTTGATCCGTTTGCACTCATATATCTATAACAGCTCACAAGCTCAATTTTCTTAATTGGAAGCTTGCTTTTACGAAGCCATATCTGTATCTTAACAAGGATTTCTTCAATATGTCCTCATTTTGTTCTTTATTAAACCACAAATAGTTTTGTGTTTATACATCTACAATAATTTCTTAGAATGGATGATCATATCTTTACAATTTGTTCTCATTGAAAGCATTTCAGGTCCTCATTTATAGTATATCCATTTAAAACTCCTTCCTCAAATCCTATCAATTGTCACCCTGGGAACTTTGTTCAACTCTAAGATAACAAAGCCATGGGAAGGTCTTTCCTTTTCTCCTTTAAATTTTCCATCAATTGCCCACTCCTCAACATAAGTAAAATTTGTTGTATAACAAGATGGAATCATGTATCAATCTTTGACCAATTTCTTCCTCACAAAATTTCATAGTGACATTCAAAATTTGATCCACCAATAATTGATTGAGCTCTTTTGTTTATCTTTCTATTATTATATGTAAGTTATTCCATTAATCTGAAATTTTAATTTTACATAAGCTCTGTTAAACAACTAAGTTAGCCATGATAGACTAATTCCTCCTGTTTCTTGCCCTCATATTTCTCAGAGCTTCTTAAACTATATAGATACCAGTATGGCATACATGTAGTTGATTTTTATCTCAAAATTAATGAAGTCCTCTGGTAATAGAAAGAGCAAATTGGCAAAAATTGGAAATATAGAAATTTACTATAATGTAAATGAAAGGGAAAGTTAACAGTGATCAATAATATGTATGCAAACATACACACTACAACTGGTGTGTCATGTTGTACAGATACTAGTGAACTGGGCATAGATTAGCAGACATGTAGTGAACTCCCATTATGGATCCAAAGAAATTATAAATATTTTGTCCAGATATACTAAGTGATTATGTTCACAGACTACTTGATGGTAACCAACTCACTGGGAGCATCCCTTCCACACTAGGACTTGTCAAGACTCTGGAGGTTGTGTGAGTATTTCCAGCCACTTAAAAGTCAATCCATCCAAAACTTCTAGTACCAATGGATTTTCTGCATTCATGTTTTGATCATTTCATCTTTGTGATAGGCGCCTTGACAGGAATTCATTAACTGGAACCATCCCCTCAAACCTCAATAACCTTACTAATGTCCAAGAGCTGTGAGTAAAAAATAGCCTGCTACCTTAAACTTGACACTTGTTTCAGGAATGAAATGAAACTATTATTTTTAGTGATTTTAGTTCACAATAACTGAGTTTTGGCTTTCCATTTTCAGGCACTTGTCCAACAATCAACTGACAGGTCCTATGCCTAACCTTACAGGCATGAATGTTCTCAACTATTTGTAAGTAGATATGGTACCATTGGGACACATATATTAACTGTGAGATGCAAATGAAAGAAATTTCATCCTTGAATTATTTTCCAAGAAATATGAATCATCGTTCTCCTCTATAAACAAAAGTATGCACCTATCCCAAAAAAATGGCTACTCCTAAGATGGAAATCTAATCACTGTGGTCTGTACAATTTCTATAGAATGCCATTCTATTGTTTACTAACCAAATATGCTTTGGACATGATAGGGACTTGAGCAATAATAGTTTTGATCCATCAGATATTCCTCAATGGTTTTCAACCTTACAAGGCTTGACCACGTTGTATGTTCCTCTTTCTCTCTCTCTCGCTCTCTCTCTCTCTCTCTCTCTCTGTGTGTGTGTGTGTGTGTAAATTTCATCACAAATAACAAATCTCATAATGCAGAGCAATGGAAGGAACACATCTTCAAGGAGAAATAACATCAGCTGTGTTCAGCATTCCTCAGCTGCAGAGTGTGTGAGTATAAATTGGCATTCAAACTTTCAGTACTATATCTAGTTGGAAAAAAAATAGATCAAAACGCCCAGGCATACAAAAATTATAGTTTGTAGTGCACATTTATCTACTCAAAGCATCAAAATAGGAGATATATCCTCATCATTTGCATATATGATTCTTAGAGTCTAATTATTTGAAAATTTGGTGGTGGCAGGAATTTAAAGAACAATCAGATAAATGGTACATTAGATATTGGCGCTAAGTACAGTGGTCAACTGCAGCTAATTGATTTACAGAACAATCTCATTAGTAATGTTTTGGAAGGAAGAGGATATAGTAATTCCTTATTGTAAGCCACATTCATTGTTTTATTTAATTTCATTACTTCCACGGGTAGTTTAACTAAGGATTTTCTTTCAGTTATCTGTCAATTTCAAAGTTTGTAGGTGGCATCCATTTCCCTTTTTTCTTTTGGTATATCAGTTTACTATGCTTATCACAAAAAGTAAGGGAAGGCTCTCACTTTTTTCCCTTTCTTTTTGTAATATTTCTTATTCAGCCTACAGGGTAATCCTTTTTGTGATTCATCAACCGGACCATCAACCAACTACTGCACACTTTCACAGCAATCTATTCCTACATATTCTACAAGACCAAAAAATTGTCTACCCCCTTCCTGTCCTTCAGGTCAAATGTCCAATCCCAACTGTAAATGTGCATTCCCCTACAACGGCACCTTATATTTCAGAGCTCCCTCTTTCTCTGATTTGAGTAATGAATCCCTCTATATATCTCTAGAAAGTTCACTTATGAATTCATTTAAAACGGCTCAACTTCCAGTTGATTCAGTTTCCCTGAGTAATCCTAGAAAGGATTCAGATAACTACTTCGACTTGGATCTCGAAGTCTTTCCTTCTGGAACAGAACGATTCAATGAATTGGGGATTTTGAATATTGGATTTGTGCTCAGCAACCAAACATTTAAGCCCCCAAAGGGTTTTGGGCCATTCTTTTTCATTGGATCACCTTATGGTGCCTTTGCAGGTAATTAAAAGCAGATCCTAGTATGACCAAAGTAATCTGATGTACTATTGTTAAATTTCACTCTAATGGATCTTACTCCATATTTATCATTTAGACTTATCCTCAAGATCAAATAATTCTGTAAGCATTGGAGTTATAATTGGAGCAGCAATTGGTGGTTTTCTACTTGTATCCGCACTACTCTGTGCTGGATATTATGCCATCCGCCAAAAGAGAAGAGCGGACAGTGTTGAACAAAACAAGCCTTTCTGTAAGAACATGATTTACTTGCAATAAGTTTTCCAGTTGCTTATATCTTGTCTCTGCTTTGTATACCTTCTTAGTTCTTAAGGATTATTGTGAATGTTATTGCCATAATAATGCAGCTTCTTGGGACCCCAACAGTAGTGGCAGCACACCTCAATTAAAAGGAGCAAGATGGTTCACATTTGATGAGCTTAAGAAATGCACAAACAGTTTCTCAGAAGCCAATGCTATTGGATCAGGGGGTTATGGGAAGGTAAACCTGTTTCTATATCTCTTGTTTTGAATATGTATAGCTCATGTATTCTGATGATAATACCTTAACAGGTTTATAGAGGAACACTTTCCACAGGTCAATTGGTTGCCATTAAAAGAGCTCAACGAGGATCAATGCAGGGTAACATTGAGTTCAAAACTGAGATAGAGTTGTTATCTCGGGTTCATCATAAGAACCTTGTCAGTCTTGTGGGATTTTGTTTCGAGAGAGATGAACAAATGTTGGTCTATGAATATGTTCCAAATGGTACCCTAAAGGAAAGCCTTTCAGGTATTTGAACTCATTCCTAGCTTTTGTAATGATTTTTTCTCCATTTGAAATAAAAACTACTACCTGCATTATCTGGAAATTCCATGTTGCCTAAGTTTGTATGAGTGTCTGGCATTTTTCCATGGTGAAATCATATATTATCAACAAACCAAGTCTTTGATCATTATTAATCCCCATAGCTCAGAACTTGATTTATTTTCACATATGACATATGCAGGGAAGTCAGGAATCCGGTTGGATTGGACAAGGAGACTTAGAGTAGCCCTGGGTTCAGCCAGAGGGTTAGCTTATCTGCATGAACATGCCAACCCTCCCATAATACATAGAGATATTAAGTCAACCAACATTCTCTTGGATGACCGCTTGAATGCAAAAGTTTCTGATTTTGGTCTATCCAAGCTTATGGGTGACAATGAAAAGGATCACGTCACCACTCAAGTCAAGGGGACAATGGTGAGTAACGAATCAACCAAGGCCCTATTCACACACACACACACACACACACAAAAGAAAAAAAGAAAAGAAAAGAAAAGAAAAGAATCACATCTTGCCTATAGAAGGGATTTAAAGTGATTTAAAGTGTGCTTCAATTCCTTACAAGAACCAAACTTATCTCGGCGCAGGGCTATCTGGATCCTGAATATTATATGTCCCAGCAGTTGACTGAGAAGAGTGATGTATACAGCTTTGGAGTGGTAATGTTAGAGTTGATAACTGCAAGGAAACCAATAGAACGAGGGAAGTACATTGTCAGAGAGGTGAAAATGGCTATTGATAAAACAAAGGATCTATACGGCCTTCATGAGTTTCTTGACCCAGCCATTGGGTTAGGCACCACCCTCAAAGGATTTGAAAAATTTGTGGATCTGGCAATGAGCTGCGTGGAAGAATCAGGAGCTGACCGCCCAATGATGAGTGAAGTGGTGAAAGAGATTGAGAACATCATGCAGTTGGCTGGTCTAAATCCAAATGCTGATTCTGCTTCTACTTCGGCAAGTTATGGAGGAACAGGTGGAGGGCACCCCCGACATCCTTATAACGATGACTTGTTTGATTATAGTGGTGGTTACCCAGCTTACAAGGTGGAACCACATTGAGTAGAATGTGTTTGTCTAGCTGGATATTGAAGAAGTCGGTTCCTTCAACTCTCTAAATTACTTTGGAGACTATCTGGATCTTAATAGTCAGTCCTTATTGGGAAGGACAATCACAATATTTAAGTCCCTGTTATGAAGGAGAATCAACAAATCTGGATTAGAAAGGGAACATGGGTTGAATTTGCTTATTATTTTTGATATTGATATTAGAATAAGGTTTAGATCAAATTCATTTTTTGTTTCAGAACACCCATAGGAGTACAATTGTTGATATTTTTTAAACTCATGAAAAGAATCAATGCTTTGTTTGTATTAGGAAGAGGATTCCCCAATAACAAATGCATGGGAGTGCAAATTGGGAGGGTCATGTTTTTATAGCCTTTGACAGATGGGCACTATGTTGTGCAGAAAGAAAGTTAAAACTGATGAATTGAAACTGAAAACAGGGGAACTCAAAGGTGTTAAGGATCTATATATTCACTATGAAGCATATTCAAGTCCATTTTACAATACTTTTAGGCTGAGCTTGTGGGTAATGCATATTTCTACAGAAAGCTATTTCTACATACGGCTTGGATATCTTATCCATGTTTTACAATTACAAGGATCTACTACCAAATTCTTCTACTTGAGATAAATTAAATTTATTTTATCTGCATCAAAAGAAAACACTAAAACCTTTCAGGAGAAACATTCATCTCTCTCTCTCTCTCTCTGGATATTGAAAACTGAAATCTTATCACAAAAACCCCAAGTGGTCTTCGCATTTATCACTGCACATGTTAATGTGTAATGGTGTAGGATCCTATTTTTGCCTTTTCCCCTGTTCATAATCTTGGAACTCTTGTCCAAATGGCCCTTTCATCCATCATGTCTCAGTTTTTCACATTTATTTATGGAAGCATTTCCCCCACCCTTCATTTGGCCAACAAGAATCAAGTCATGGGCTTCTCCAACACGGCTGAAAAGTACCACTCATTCATTTCGATGCCCCTATCAAGCTTTCGGCCAGAATTCCACCTCAATTTCCTGAACCCAATACGGTCAATCATGGGAATATAGGTTGCGTTCAGCTGTGACCCGAGGCAGAAGAAACGATCAAGCCAGAAGAGCCCACCAGGCCTCAAGACCCTATAGATGTCATAGAGCGTAAACTCAAGCATGGCATCTGGAATCCAGTTGCTGAGTACATGCATGGAGTGCACAATATCCAGTGTTCCTTCAAAGAAAGGGAGCCTCTGTGACACAGTAAGATGGAGAGGGATCAGGCCACGCAACGCAATGAAGCTGTTGAACGGGCCGTCCAAGTTGATTGAGGTGGTGATGATGGTGATATTTCGTTCCCTCATCCTGGCTGCAAATGTGCCGGTTCCACCTCCTATGTCCAACCCAATACGAATCGTACCAGGTGGTTTGGCTCGCAAAACCTCGTCAATCCCATAATCAAGTCCCCCATTGTCGACGATCCACCTGCTCTTCTCCCGGCCCTCCAAATCAAAGCAATCCTTGCAATCGTAGTGACCCTTGGAGCGCTTGCGATCGATGAGGCACTTGTAGCTTTTGCAGCTGTAAGGATCCCATATGATGCTGGTGTCGGCAGGGGTTGCCCAGAGGCTTTCTGGGTGAGGGGTCGGGTCTACGTATCCGACGGGAGACTTGGGGTGGCACCGCCGGCGGGGGAGTGGCTCACACCCTTTTAGCATGAGCCTCTGTGCAAAAACGTCATCTACTGGGCATTCACCTCCGACATCATATGTCATGTACTGTTTCAGCTCATCTAGGAATTGAAGGCAAGCTGCACCAACTGGGGGGAAGACTTCGTCGGAGCCCACCCTGGGAGCATACCCCAGTGGGAGCTTGTGTGGGCTTATTGCTAGCTTGAGCTCACCCGACAACTGAACACTACTGAACCCAGAGGGTTTCACTGGCTCGGTGGGCTCCTGGAGGCGGCCACCCAGCTCGGAGAGAAGGGTCTCTAAAAGCGAATTGGCAGAGATGAGCTGCCGGTGCAGCTGAGCAATACGGGTATTGCTGGAGGCAAGATGGGCTTGAGTGGAGTTGAGCTCTTGCAGAAGAGCCTTGGGATCCAACTCCCAGAGAGAGGGATGGTGAGTGTGATCAGACAAGCTTAAGTTGAAGGACGAACCAGTGAAGATGTAGATGGTGAGAAGATTGGTGAAAATTACCAGGAGAAAGATCTTGAGCCTAGTCTTGTTCTGGTTCTGTTGATGTGGCTTTCGAGGGTAGTCATCCATACCACCCCCCATCCCCATCTGCCTAGCTGCAACTCTGTGGATGGTGACTGGTGAGTGTAGTCAAGTGCTGTGACGGGAGAGAAGAAGGCGGGAAGGGTGGAGTGGAGTGGTGGTGGTGGGGTTGATACTTGATACATTGATGGGGTTACATATTTTATAAAGTTAGAGCTCGTCTCGCTCATTGTGATCCGCCGTTGAACCTGCAACCTTACTTTCAACTCAATCCAGGAGGGTGGATTGTGGGTATGGGTAACTAACTACCTGCACGGCTGCACCTGGCAGTGGCACACTGCTCTGCATTGGTGAAGGAAATGGCAGTGGCACACCTTGTTCTTTTCTGATTCTCTCTTATTAATTTCTTTCGTCTCTTTATACAGCTAATTAGGTTTGGATTGCCTTATAAAACAAGTAAGATCGACAATTTTGGGTTTTGACATCAATTTGAATTATGGGGCAACGTCCATACTACACCTAAATCATCTAATTTATACACCTACGGTTACAAAAAGGTTCAAATATATTTAAGAGAGAAAAGGAGGGCCTGCTTTGTTAGAGACGGTTACAAAATGGTTCAAATATAGTGAATGTTGCAGCAATCAATCAAATGGGTGTGAAATAAAGTGTAGTCAGAGACATTTGGGCTTCTAAAGCGTCTCCTGCCCACGTTTTTAATTTTTTTCGCTTCATGAGGCTACATAAGAGGGGTGGCCCATCCCCTTTTCCTTAACCCTCAAACCCCTGGTGGGAGCGGGATTTGATCCCAGGTCTCTACTCTGATGAGTCAGAGAACTTATCAATTAAGCCACGCATCAGTTGGTTCCTGCCCATGTATTTGAACACTTTTAAATACCTCTTAGACTCGAGTTCACATCTCTGCCATGTATTGAAAATATCTCCCGATGATAATACCAAAACCAAGAGATGCTGTGGGGCGGAGATGTGAACTCCTTAGACTCCAAAGAAGGCATCAACTCCTTATACTCCAAAGAAGGCATCAACTCCTGTTAATATAGTGCATTCTAATAGCTTTAGCATTTGGCAATTTGGAAAATCAAACGTCTTAAAGAAGCATAACTTTTTGTTAAAAGATGTGAATCTTGAAACCAGGGTTGTCCATACCATTCTCTCTCTCTCTCTCTCTTTCAACATATCTATCCTTCAATGACCATCACAAGTGAATTCCTTTGTATCATTTGGTAAATTTGGCAGCATTCCTTCCTGCCCAATTACGTGAGAAAGGTAAAGTGGTAATTGGTAAACCATTTCTCTATCCCCAGCATAGCATACTTTGTGAAAAAAAAAAAATCCCATCGACGCCCTGCGTGAGGAAGATGGAAGCTTCTCCAGTACCTGTTTTGTAAAGACTCCTGAAGCAACAGTGCTCTGTCATCTAGGGAAGAAGGGAAGAAGTTGGGACTTGGAACAATAGCAAAACAAAGTTAAGGTTGTTGGGTTTGCTAAAGTTGTAGTTTTTTGTGGGGGATTTTCTTCATTGGTACATGGTTAGTTTAACTTTGAAGTATTTGACTGAGTGGATGTAATTGGTTTGTAGTGATCCTTTCTTCTCTATGCATTTTTTTTTTTTTTTTTTGTGTTTGGAGCCTGAATTGAAGCTTCCCTTTCATCTAGGTGTTTCTATTTCTCAAATATTTGTTTTTTATTTCAATGATCTGTGTTCTTGTAGTGTTATATTTTCTACACATAAGCATGTTTGACAATTCTACTTCCTGAAGAGGGGTGGAGGGCCTATAGACCCTGAATTTGAACCTTGACGATATCGGTGCTCATCCATGCTTCAATGGAGTTTTCTATACCTGAACATGATAGGCATGCAATTATTTGAGTGTCCATAACTCAAATCCGATGACAGATCAAACTTTATTGTCTCAACAAAAGAGGAGCTTCCCCTGCTCATGTAGGATGTAAATATGCATCCCAAAGATTGGATGTATTGACAAGTCCATTTAATTTCCAGTTTAGTTGGGACTCGGGAAAGAATATTACAGAATGAATAAGATAGAACTTGAAGGAATAAAGAGGAAAAGAAGTTAGAAGTTTAGAAGGTTCATTATAGTTCCATTGGAGAATTAGAAACTAACAAAGAAGAAGAATATTTTTTGGTTAGTTTCATAGGAAATAAATATTAGAGTGGTGGGGGAGGCCAAAGACTTTTTTCCTCTTCTGTTTTTATTTTTTTTAATGTAGTATTAAAGTGGGAGAGGAGAAAAAATCAAATGTGAGCATCTTTCCTTTTTACATTTTGGTACAAAATATGCCATGTCACACCTCCCCTCCATTAATCCACCATGGCTGAATATGTAATAATCATATACAAGAAATGTTGTGTCTATTTGCTACGTTACCCCATCCCTCTCTCTCTCTCTCTGATTAATTAGTTTATATATCATTTTCTCAGTGTTAATAAAGGGTAATTTGGTACTTTTGTTAACTTATAAAGAGGTGATTTTTATTATTTAAGAATAAAAAAAAATTCATTTAAAACCTTCTGTTTTGTTATTGATTGTTAATTAATAATTTTAAACCTTCTGTTTCAAACTTCTCTTTAACGCCCGTGCATGAGTTCCTACCAAGGTTCAAAATATCAATATCGATACTTTTTTTATTTTTATTTCCAAAACCAGTTCAGGGGACCAGTTTAAGGCTCCTCCACCCCCTGAACGGGTCAGAACCCTGATATACCCTCTGTAAAGGCATATCAGGAAACTTCTAGAACGACAAGTATCGACTAATACATATAGATACTTTGAACCTTAATCCCTACTAGTAAATTAATGGCAAAAAAAGACTTCTCAAGCATTTGACACAAATGGAAGGAGAGGAGAAAGGTTTCAAGAGTGATTTTAAGGCCACCATTTATGAAGCCAGAAAGGTAAAACTTTGACCAATATAACCCCTGTGAATTTTGATTAATACTTTATCAATTTTTCAGGTATATGCCGTTTCGGTATTATAGTTGTAAGATTCAAGGGCCTATCAGAAACGTAGAGTGTATTTAAAAGTTTAGACCGGTAGGTGAGGTCCCTGAAATGGATTTTATGCCCCTTCCCCCTTCGTGCCAAAGCCCTTAAGGCTGTGTTTGGTTGCAATGCAATTTTATTTGCATTAATACAAATACATGGGAGTGCAAATGAAGAAAATGCAAATTCCCATTTAATTTTGTTTTGAATATTACTTTATTCTACTTCATTTTTACTGCAATCAAATAAAATAAGTTAAAATTTGAAACAAAAATAGGTAAGAATATACAATGGAACCATTTGCACTGCCATAATTTTGCATCAGTGCAAATTTATTTGCATTGCAACCAAATATAAAGGAGTGTAGACAATGTGCAGGCCCATTCATACCTTACACTGGATCACTTGATCAAACAATATCTGATACCATCTCAATAAATTATTTAGCCTAAAAGCTTAAGCTATTAGATTTTTATTCGCTAACAATATTGTAAAGGCAATTAAAAAAAATGTATCAAGATAAGTTTTGGATACACGTGGATGCAGGGAAAATAGCAAAATACAAATAAGTTATGAAAGTTCAAATATATTATAAAAATGTATCAATAACACTAAATATAAATCTCAAATAAAATATAAGAATCACATACTTTAATGGTCCTTATGAAGAAATATATCATAACCAACATATAGGAATATATAAAATTATGTCATTGGTCATTTTTTAACGACTGACTTATTGCTTTGACTTTTAGTGAATGAGTTATAAATTAATCGATTAAATATTACAGAAGGCTTAAAACTTAATTGACGTATGTTATATGCTTAACTACTAATATTAATATCAGTAAGTAACATGGTTAACCATTGATTACAAAAGACATAAAGTTTAAGTGGTTACCCCTTCAAAATTAATCACTCAAATTACACCCAATTTAACCACTAATATAAACATTTAAGTTTTAAGCACTTAAACTATCCAAAACAACAAAAAAAAATACAAGTATAAAATCAGTAATTCTTCTTATTAAAATTATTATTTTAAATTTATTTGCATTTGTAAAATTATAAAAAAAATCATGAAAATTAAATTTTTGAAAATTTTAATGGATCTATGGATAACGCCGATCATTCATAGATCCACATTATAGTTATTTCAACTATGATATGAAAAAGATATGATATCTGAAAATTTTCTAACCAGTCAATTAGAATCACAAGTACGGTAGCCAATAAGGTGTTATTTATCAAAATTCATGGGTGAATTTTGATTGGTCAAAACTCTTCCCATACCATATCTTTTCTGCATTATAGATTTTCCCTATTCTTTACCATCACATTACGTAAAATATATCAATTTTCTATTTATGTAATTTTTCTAACTTTCATTTAAAAAGTCTATACACCCACCCATAGGGGAAAAGAATCTAATTATCCAACCATTAAAAACACAAATCACAAACTATGAAACTGGTAATATTTTCTTATTAGAATAATTATTTTATGGTCGATACGATATCCTATATGCTACAATATTAACAATTTTTTTTTAAAAAAAAAACTATTTTATATGCATTCCAGGAACCAATGACTTGTTAGAACATACCATATCATACACACCCATTAATATGTTGCAATATTTTGAACCTTGCATGATCATGATCAGATTCAATTTATTAGAGAGTAATGATGGATTTTATTAAAGAAACTTGACACCTAAGAGAGTTTTTTGTTTCTTTCTGATTTTTTTAACTCTTAATAATTTAATCTAATTTAAAAATAAATGTGTGCAAAAAAAATGAGAGGAGATTAGTGCCAGCACTATCATGTACAAAAATAAAAATAAAAATCAGTGCCAGCACTTAGAAGGTGGGAAGAGTCTACGTTCCTGAGCTAAGCTAAGCTCTGCTAGTGCTACCCACGGAACGCTACTAATACCCTACCCCAGAACCAGAAAACACCATAGGAATTGATTATATATGGCATCCGGACTCCTCACTCCTTCCTCTACCTCTGTAATCTATACTATAATAGAGTCATATTCATATAGATAGATTGAATCTGCAAAACTGGGTCCTGGCACACGGTTCTAAGTTGTTGACTTCTTTATTTTCTAATTTCTTTTATTCATATCCATGTGATATTAATTTATTTTTTTGGAGTTAGAACTTAGGAGGGTCGCTAGTACAAATTACAAATGGCAGTTCGGCTCTCTGTCTACCTGTAGACATAGGAAAAGCTTCAGACTTACGAAAGTGGCAAGAAAACTTTCCTTCTAAATTACATGGCTGTGGAAGATAAAGACCCATGTGACTGCTCATGCCTTTCGGGGAACAAGATCATTCTTTCCTATATTTTAATCTCCCAACCCTCCATTAAAATTGTAATAGAATAAGAATAAGATGGCTGAGAATCCCAAGTAGCATTGATCCAGAGGGTACCCATTTGACTGAGACTACATGGGGATTAATCAGAAGCACACTCTTGACTGCGGTAACTTATAACACTAAAAAGTTGAAACTGAATTCTCTCACTATCTGTACCCAGTTCTTGAATATCTGTTCTTCCAGACAATTGACGCCCAAACAGTCCGTTTTTTTCAAACTCAAAACTTTCTGCTTAGATAATGGGACAAACAATACTTTTTCAGATGCCAAATGCTGGATTGTGTGCATACTTGCTCACATCCTAGAAATGTGCAACCATAAAGATGTGCAGTAAAACTTAAAACAGTTGGTCTTTTTTCAGAAATATGTAGATGCCATAGAAAACAGAATATGATGCAATAAACTTGTCCAATTCCTATAAATAAGGGCAACAGATCAGATGATTATGACTGATGGGTTATTCAGGTGAACTCCTAATTAGGGGTGCCATGAGCATATTTTTTAAACCAGACCGGTCCTTGGGTTTTTTGCAATATTCTGAACCAAATCAATCGGTCAACCAGTTGATCACTTTGATTCTTTGGTTTTTCTTCTAGGTCAACTGAAACCAAACTGGTTGGCCGGTCCTTTGGTTTTTCGCAATATTCTGAACCGAAACCAAACTGAATCAGTCGGTTAACCGGATTTTTTTTTTCCGTTTCCTCTGTTCGATTCGGTTTTTCTGCTTTTGATGAGCAGCGCCTCCTAGTGTACATTGTCTAGGGGGAGTGTATTGAATGGTGGATGCCACTTATAGCCAGCAGCCTGTCATATTTGCATATACAGATATGGCATTGGAAGTTTGTTGCAATTAGATTTTCACACAAGGTTGGCCTTTTGGATCCTTGGGATTCTATTGACATTGTTTGGAGTGAAGATAGACATGAATCTAATGGCCAATAATGAACGTGCAGTGGCACATAGATATCACCACTCACCAGATAGAGAATTCCCTTTGAAGCCACTTTTTCTGGGTTCTTGAAATAACCTGAATTGTATTCGTCTCCTAGTGTAGCCCAAAACACCCAACCATGCGTATGCAGATGTTACCAAATAGACAGAATTATTGTGTGTGTGTGTGTCTGTGTGTGTTTAGGCATACATGTTTTCATCACAACTTATATGAGTTTTGAAATACCCATTATTTATTTATTTATTTTTTTGAAAAGGATAAGGTGTCATTAATATTTGTTGCCTCATTTGAGTATTGTAAATTATAGATTCATAGCATCCAGGTGAATGACTAGGGATGGTTAACAAATCATACCAATCAGTCACAACATGGTAACTTTGACTAAATCTAAGCAGTAAACAAGGGGAGGGAAGGATTGGGAGACATAACAGTACCTGCCATTGCCTAAATGGGGAGCTCGGTCTGAGGAATCACTTAGGCTGCCCTACTGAAAACCAATCAAAAATAAGAATTTCTTCTCTAGAACACAGAAAGAACCACATCTATTATATATCTAAACCACAAAAGCAAACATTAGCCAAGGAATAGATTAAACTACTAATAATAGAAGTCTGCTGCTGGATATTCGTCTATTCATTTGAAATCAATAGAAAGAAATGTCAACACAGTAAGTAATCCAAAGATTCTAAACATAAATCACACAAAGAAAAGAAAAGAGAGGCATCTCTCTTTCTTTCATTTAAGTTTTAGCTTTTTCTATCAAAAACTATATATATTCTTTAATTATTAGCTTTCCAAAACCCCAATACAGAAAAGCATGACATAAAAGGAAAACTACACTTTATTGATGCATTCTCTACACAAACACAACCCTTATAGAAGGAGAAAATAAAGACAAGAATGTGAATTTAACAGGGACTTACAAGGAACATTGGCTTTTTATTTGAAGGGAATACCACATTTTCAAGATGAACTTCCAAAATCCTAGGCCCTTGCTTTGGGTGTTTGGGTTGGGAGCATTTTGTGCTTTTTTCTTTTCTTTTCTTCCCGTATACTTCTTGTATACTCTCCTCCTTTCTTTTAATAAAATTTTACCTTATCTTTTTCGAAAAAAAAAAAATGCAGGAACTTAAGGTACATATTGGTTCTTTTGAAGTGGAACTTCCAAAAGTTTTAGCATCCAAAGTAGCTTGATATTCAGAAACATTTTCTCCACTGCACAATAGATGACTTCTTGAACTCTTTCTCTCAATGCTTCCCAAACAGCTGCTAGCCTGCTACCAACCAACTCTTGTTGCTATTGCAGAGAAAGATGCAATGGCTGAAAAAGAATTGGACTACTCCCATGTAGAGTTGTACTAACCATTCAGGTGGGCACATAATTCTCAAGAAGATGAATATTCTGCCACGCACAAAACAAAAAGTTAGGTAATGATTGCCAATAGGACATAAAACGCCAGAACATCAAGTTGCAGGCCTGCAAAATTATTATAAAGTTGCAACTATGACATAAATAAACCAGAAATATCAAGTTGGAGTCTTGCAGCAACATTAAAAAATTTACAACATTATCCACAGAAAAGAGTATGTTATCTTAATATATTGATAGAAACTTGAGAATTAACTAATTTTCAAATTAAAAAGAAAAAAGGCATTCTAGTGATTTGCTCCGTGCTAAGTGAAAAGGCAGATACCACAAACAGATGGAACCATGCCTAACTTCTCACACACATAAAATGTAAGACATGATGATTAAATAAGAGGGGGAAAACAATATGCATAAAAACAAAAAGAAATAAAACCTTAATCTTGTTCCTGTGTTCTACTTAAACGCTTAGAGAAATGAACAAACCAGATTTAGCTGTAAACGAAATTCAGACTACAATACAGTGTAGCAAAATATATACGCCATCTCAAAACCAGATAAAATACGAACTCTATTGTGTTATAAATTGAACACCCGTATCAATTGTGGGTTATTACTCATCTAGTGAACGCATGCAGGCACTTTGATCTGTTATACAAAGGGTGATGAATAATATGGGTCGACAACAAATCCAACATTTCATGTATCTCAAGACAAAGAGGGTGCACTACATCCCCCGCAACGAATTCATTCACTTCCCCATTCACCTCAATGACACTGCATCCCGGTGTCTTTTTGATCCCCATATCGCCAATCAATCTCCGAATTCTCTGTGCATCTTCAGATCTCCGTGCACCCAAGTAAATGTTTGATAGTTGAACATAAGCACCATCTTCTTCCAATGCATCTTGCTCAAGCTGTAGGAGCTCTTCAACTGCAAGCTCCGCAAGTTCAACGTTACCACGCATGCTGCAACCACTGAGCAATGAGCCCCAAACAGAAGCAAGTGGCTTCATTGGCATTCTTCTTATAAGTTTGAGAGCTTCATCTAAGCGGCCTGCCCTGCAAAGCAAGTCCACAGTGCAACTATAATGCTCGTGTTTTGGTACAACACCGTATTTAGACTCCATATGGTTTAGAAGGAAAAGGCCCTCTTCCAGAAGACCAGCATGTTTACAAGCTGTAAGAACCCCAAGAAGCACAACCCCGTCTGGCATAAGCTCGTCTTCCTCCTGCATTTTCTCCAAGCAATGAAGTGCTTCCTTTGCGAACCCATGCACAGCATAGCCACCGATCATTGCAGCCCACGAGAAGACATTTCTCTTGGGCATGCACCGAAATGCTTCCACTGCTTTGTCAATACACCCGCACTTGGCATACATATCAACAAGTGCTGTCCCCACAAACACATCTTCGGTGAAAGCATCCCTCTTTTTAATGTACTCATGGATCCAGATTCCCTGCTGAAGAGCTCCCGAATGAGCACAAGCTGTGAGGCCAGTAGCAATGCAGAACTCATCAGGCTTCACATCAGAGAACATGTTACGGAAAATATTCAGAGCCTCAGAAGCAGAAACCCAACGAAGATACCCATTTATAAGAACGTTCCATTGGATAGCATCTTTCTTCTGAATTTCGTCGAACACATTTTGAGCACCATCCAAATCGACGCATTCCACGTATAAACGGACAAGGGCAGTCTGAACGTGATTGCTAAAGGAAGCCAAACCGTTCTTGAGGACACAGCTATGAATTTGCTTTCCGGCAGGGACCCAAGAGATGCTTGCACAGGCGGCGAGTGCAAAGGGGAAGGTGTGTTGGTCGGGAACGACGTTGTGGTCGCACAACATGAGACGGAAGTAATCAAGAGCAAGCAGAGGTAGAGAAGCGCGAGAGTAGGCTCTGATTAGGGTGTTGTAAATAAACGAATTGGGAGACTGGGTTTGGTGAAAGAGAAGAGAGGCATAGGATAGGCTGCCGGAGACGGGGAGGGCACAGAAGGAAATGAGTTTGCTGATGGCGTAGTTGTTGCGGTGGAAGCCGTGAACGATGAAGAGAGCGTGGATTGCCTTGAGTTGTTGCATGGTTGAACAGCGGTGGGCGAGGGCCAAGCATCGTTTCCATGCTTGGTTGCTGCGGTTGCTGCAGCTGCTGAGCAGTCCAGTCATGTGCGTGCATTGTCGACTGGAGTCTGCTTCCACTTCCAGAGTTCCAGTGGAGACTGAGAAGCTTCAGCCATACTGACTAACTAATGGTCAATTTTTTTTTTTGTTTTTTCTTTGGTGTCGATGGGCCTGGGCTCACATTGCTTGGGCCGTTCGACATTTCGGGCACAAGTTTTTTATCCAAGTCCAACCCATCTTAGCCCAAATATTTGCCTTTGGGTTTATATCCAGATAAAAATGCATTTACTTTCTCTCTCCACTCTGTCTTTCTTTCCCATTTCTTTCCCATCCCAAATTCAAGTTTTATAGTAAAATTATTTTAAGGGAAAATTTTCGATTCGTACCTTGTATTTTGTGCCTAGTGTCACTTTGATTCCTGAACTTTAAAATGCGATAATTCACTACCTGAACTTTTAAAATATGACAATCCAATATCTGCTATTAATCAACAGTTAATCTTCTGTTATGTGACATTTGAAAAGGACACAAGTGCCCTTGAAGTGTCATTTAATTTCTTTATCAACCATCTAAACATTGACAGGAAATTAACAGTCTCAAATCCTTGTTTCTTCTATTCAAGAAAGTTTGGGTTATATTTAAGTGGTCATTCTAGTGACCCCAACTTTCTTGAATAGAATAGGTAAAGATTTGTTCAATATTTGGATAGTTGATAAAGAAAATTAGATGACAATCAAAGGACATTTGTGTGTTTTTAAAATGTCACTTAATGGCTGATTAACACCTATTTAACGGCAGGTACTGGATTGTCACATTTTAAAAGTTCGAGTACTAAATTGTCACATTTTAAAGTTTGATAACCAAAATGACACTAGACTTAAAGTACAAGGTACTAATCGGTTTTTCCAAATTTTAATTCATTGATAAGCCTAAATATTGAGTCCAGCCCACATAGATACGAACCCAGCTTAAGACCCTATAAAAACCAAGACCGGTCCAGTAAAATCGAGCCCATGATCATAACGAGCCCACCCCTCACCATCCCACTTTTGTGCCTCACATCGTTGTGTTTATAGGTTCAGCCAAAATACGAAAATGGGTATGGAGAAAATGGATAAGAAATGCAAAATTTTAATTAATCAGAATTATAAAGGTATAGTTGATTGATAGAAAATAAGAGAGACAAAAGAATTGAGGGAGAGTTGTTAATGAATTTTAAATGTTTTGAAAACTGACTTAAAATCGAAACCGTTTTAGCCACCAGTTTTCTGGGTCAATGGTTCAACTGTCCAGTCTGAATAGATCAGCATATGACAATTAAAAAATTAAAATTAAAAAGTAAATACAATAAAAACCACCCAAAACCGTTTTTTGGGTTGAACAGATTGATGGTTTGATTTCCCAGGTCAACTAATCACTGACCAATTCAATAGTTTTTGGCAAAAAATAATAATAATAATAATAAAACAATTTGGAGATGAAACAAAATCGATATCCTAACCAATTTTCCGACTGAATGGTCCGATCATTTAGGTCAACCATGGTTCAAAAACCACGGATTTTACAAAAGCATGAGTTTGACAACCTAGCTTGAGCTAAATTGAAAATATTCAACTTGGGCTTAGTCTCAGGTAGGTTACATAAAGCAGTGAATATTGTAAAAATCCATATTTAATGGATTTAGGTTGATAAAATGATTGAATGTAAAAGAATTAAATATGTGCTTGCTTCCAAGTTCCATGGATCTTATTTGGAATAGCATGGTATATTTTTTTTATAAGAAAAATACTTTCTATTAAAAAACAGAAATACAAGAAGCGTCCAAACAAAAATATGTCTTCATCTCACCCCATCAAGGCTGCACACCACTATCACACTCCTCCATTCGTTTGGTTCGAACGGTCAGATCGTTTGACCCAAAAACTGAATTTCTGATAGGTTCGTTGTTCAGTTCGGTTTTAAAAATCTTGACCATTTTTCCTCTAACTCATCATTCAAGGGTAATTTGGTCATGAAAATTGTTATTTATGCTGACATGGACACCTCTGTTAAGAAGTATTAACAGTGCACTAACGAAGGTGAGCTTTGGAAAATAAAAACTTACTGACATGATGAGTTTTAGACAATTTCCCAATTAATAGTAATCTACACCTCCAACAAGTACAAGAAAATTAATTGTGGCTCTAATTACGTAATTAGGCTACATAAAGTAACGGGTTTTATGAGATAGGGTATTCTCTTTTAAGGAACTTAGGTTGCTTCCTGAATTACCAATAAGATTAGATTAAAGTAATCTAAATTTCATTATTCCTTTATAGTTTAAGCAAATATGGATGTAATTCCAATCCAATTTGATACAATCTAATAATTTTAAATAATTACATTTGTACATTTATCTACATGAAATTAATATGTATTCGCTAATTAATTTTGTTTGAACATTATGTATTACTAAAGAATTCTAAGTTGAAGTCCTATAAAATTTATTTTCAACACCTTTTATTTAGTATATGCATTAATATTAAGACTTTTAGTTTAATTTATTAATGATATTCAATTTCCATATCCAATCCAAATTTTACATTGATGAATAAGATTTGGATTCAAATATTAAAAACATATCAATTTGAATTCAAACATTAGATTGTGTAGTGAAAACACATTAACATTTAAGGTCCATTTTATTTAGAAAACTACCTCAAAGGAAATACCACTTAAATTCTTTCTTTTTTTTATTTTTTTTCTCTTTGGAAAAGATTCAAAATATAATAGATTTGAAAAAGAAATAACTTTATTTTTCTCATCCCACTAATAAGATTGTGTTGTATACACCTCCGAGTAAGTACTTTCTAGGGGTGGCCACAAGCCTCTCGGCTCATGAAAAGCTCAGCTCAATTTAAACCGAGCTTTGAGTCGAGCTCGAGCCTGATGCATAGGCTTGTTTTCTAATCAAGCCGAGCTCGAGCTCAATGAAGCTCGGCTCGTGAGCCTAGTATAATAAATAAATAATTTTTTATTATATACATACATACATACATACATATAAATATATATATATATAATAAATAATGTTTATTATATATAATAATATTTTTATTTTTTATGTATAGTAATAAATAATTTTTATAATTCTAACTTTTTTGTATGCAAAATAAAAATAATTTTTATATGTATATTTTTATTTTTATATATATAATAATAAATAATTTTTGTAATTCTTATTTTGTTGTATGTAAAATAAAACAATATTTTTATATGTATAATTTTTATTTTTTAGAAAAAGCATGGCTTGTAGTTGATCTCAAACTTGCGAGCTTTGAACCGAGCTGAGCTCGAGCCTAAGACTATTTTAGTGAGCTGAACTCGAATAGCCAAGTATTCGGCTTGGCTCAGTTCAAATCCACCCCTAGTACTTTCTTATCAAAGAAATGTCAACAAGTTGATTGGGCTGAACCATGTCTAATTTAGCTTACGCTTTTAAATTTTGTTTTCAGCTTTGGCTTATCTCAAGGCTTCACAAAGCCTAGGGTAATTCTAAGTTTATCTTCTCAAAAATTTTGCCATTCAACTTATGAAAATTAAAATAACACTTACTCATGATCATCACCATCCAAGCCATTTCCCAACCATATAACATTAGTTACATGCAAGGTTTAAAGTATCGGAAACGCTAAGTGTATCAAAAAGACAATTTTAATTAGCGACATATTGGGACGATACACCTTGGATACACATATGTATTAGAGAAAAATCAAGATGCACATGAAAATACTATAAATACTTCACTAAATTATAAAAAAAACATCAATAACACTAAATATAATACTTCAATGAGGTATATATTAATTAGATTAACATATCCTAGTGGACTTTACAAAGAATAATATATTATAGTCAATATATGAGAGCATATAGGCATTATCTAGAAGGGTTATAACCACAAAATATCAATGTCTAATAATTTAATACATGTAGCATTAAAATAGTGAATGATGAACTAAAGATAACTAAGCATCTAGTATTATCTATTCACAATTGATAAAAGAAAAAAGACAATTAGCAATAGAAGTATAGTAACATACCTTCATGAAGATGGTGTTCATTAATAACTTATATGATACAAAAAAAAAATTAATATTAATAAAGAAATTTCAATTCCTATATGGATATAGGTCATCCATATATAACCCTTATGGTTAGATTACAAATAATATAATTAACTATTTATTTATTTTTTAATTCCTAAAATTATAAAAATAAAAAATAATTATTGCAAATGAAATTTCAATTTTCTATGAATATGATAGATCATCCATATATTTATAGCATATATTCAACCTTTATGGGTAGACAAAAAATTCATTTTTCACTTTTTTGTTGTTTTATATTTTTTTAAATTTCTTCATAAAAATTCCATAGATCTAGTAATAATATCAAAAAAACTATGATTTTCAACACAAGTGTAGATCAACATATATTTAAACATTCTCAAGCATTCACATGTACACAGACACACACACACACTCATGAACTCATAACATATTATGGGAAAAGTTGAAAAATTTTACTTTCTTTTATAATATTTTTCAAATCTTAAAAAATCTTCAAAAACCTTGATGATTCACACTTGTTTTGGGGCTTCTTTCCCCCTTTTTTTGATTTCTTCCTATTATAAAATTAGTAACATATTGACTGATACACCCTAATATGCTATCATTCCCCCGTATCATGTAGTCAAAGATATATATGATACGATATGCCCTGTATTGGGTGTATCAAAACCTTAAGCCTTGGCCACATAAATCATGTTTCGCCATTATGTTTTGTGGATGCCAAGTCCCTTGTTAATTTATCGGCACTCAAATCATTTCTTACTTCTTCAACCCATGTCCTTTTTAATCTATCCCTAGCCCTTCCAATAACCTCTTCGACTTGCAATTAATCACTTATTGTCATGGATACTATAGATGATGCAATTTATGCACATGACCAAATCATCTTAATCTACTTTGTCTCATTTTATCACTTAGTCCCTATTCGCTTTTCGGTAAGTTACTTACCCGGGCAAATGCAGTTACCTGGGTAAGTTTTTCCTAGAAAACACTTG